CTACCAAAAGGCGCATGTACATTTCGCCTACATATGGCTACTAAAAAGTAAGGCAACAACAGTCGTACAACTGATGACTATCGAAGGATGAATACGAAAACCATTCCTGGTCGTTACCCATTGCCTTAGGTTCACGTTTTGACAGATACCTTGAAAGGTACAACTGTTTTTTACGAAAATCGACTTGGTTAAAGCCTATAGACAAATTCCCATGCCTTTTGACGACATCCCCAAGACTGCTATAATCACTCCTTCCAGTCTCTACGAGTTTTTGCGCATGTCTTCCGGCTGAAGAAATGCTGCCTAAACCTTCCGTAGGTTCATCGATGACGTCTTTCGATGTCTCACCTTTGTACATGCGTACATACAGAGTATTTTATCTCCAGTATCTGGACCTCGTCTTCGAACGACTACAAAAGTACGGCATTACTGTAAACATTCGGAAATGTCAAGTCGGCACCGAATATCTAGATTTTCTCGAATACTCTACTGATGCTCAGTGCATCCGACCTTTAAAAAGCAAAGTGGTGGCCATTTCGGATAACCCAGAACCTACCACAATCAAGCAATTGTGCACGTCTAACGGACCAGTAAGTTTCTGTTAACTGTTCATAATGGATTGCGCGTTTCTTATGATAATTTTAACGGAACAACTTTGTGGAAATGCGATATCCATCAATTTGGACGATATCGCGAATAAAGCGTTCTTCACACTTAAGGAACTTATCACCAAAACCACATTGATCGCACATCAAGACACCGAAGCACCAATTAGTGTCACAGTAGGTTCATCCGACTCGGCGATCGGAGGAGTCTTACAACAACCCATAAACAACTACTGGCAACCTTGGTCGTTCTTTTCGAAACGGTTGCTATACACTTAATCGAGGTACAGCACTTCCAGCAGGGAACTCCTAGCCATGCATTGTAATGATGAACGAAAAGGTGAGGGAGTAGGCACAGTTCTGTGTAAGCTACCAGAAATCTAAGGTGACTAGACACGGTCAATATTCCTTAGGCCCTTTTGAAACTCCAGATGCTCCTGTCGATTAGGTTCATCTGGATCTGGTAGGACCGTTACCAGGTTCAAATGGATACTCTTATCTCTTAACTTTTGTAAACCGTTTCATTCTGTGTCCAGAAGCAATACCCATCAGGGATATAACTGCTGAAACAGTGGATCGTGCCTTCTTTGAACGGTGGATAGCAAACTACGGTTGCTAATCAACTATCACTACAGGCCGTGAACGCCAGTTCGAATCTGGACTTTTCCGTTGTATTACTACGCTACTTGGAGTCACACGGTTCCGAACGACCACCTGCCACCCACAAGCAAACAAGTTTGTAGAACGCCCTCACTGATATTTAAAAGCTTCACTCCAAGTTGCGAAGGTTTCGCAGTAAACTGACGCTCTTACAACCGTTTTATTCGGCATTCCCAATGCAGTGAAAGATGACATTTGGTACACTGAAGCTAAACTTGTTTAACGACACTCTGACTTCCGAGGAGACCTACTAGTCCATCTTCTTCACTGAATACTGATCTAAACGCTCCCATAAAGAGGCTTACAAACGCCATGTGTCCAGTTAAACATTTTCCACCAAACTGCAGTCAACTGATGTTTTCGTTCAACCTGCCTTGCGACATAGTACACACGTCTTTGTACGTTGCGACTCAGTAAAGCGAGCTCTTGGAATTGCAAACGAAGGGTCCTTCAATGTCCTTTAGCTTATACATAAGTACTATATGATCAATAAAGACGGAACAAACAATAAAATCGGCATCGATCGTCCTAAAGTCGTTCATTTAGGAGAACACTCTAATAATGTTGATTTTCCTCCGGTACAATCGGACGACACGAGTCTCACAATTACGAAATCCCACCGGATAATTAATAACCACAAAGAAAATCCGGTGGTATTTGGCAAACGGCTTAAAACAACGCTCTATGGGAGAAGGCTAAAGCTTACGGAACGCTTAGATGAACTTTTAATATCGAGCAGCTTCAGTATCTGTCTCTTCTACACTTTACTCGCTAAGTAAATTTCTTTCTTACTAATAACCTAAAAAGCCTAGGTTTATTGCACTTCTCTTTTTCAATAACAAACCAAGTTCTCGTAATATGATGCAGCCCTTCTGATCTCTCTTTACTTTACACAAACGGGTAATTTACTAAATTTATGTTTGATCATTGCTTCATATAAATAGCATGTACTGCATTGCTATCATTTCTCTAAGAATGGTACTGATGAACTACCTCTGTATTTTTCGGAGAATGTCTAAAAAATTACCTACTATCTTCAACATATCCATGTTAGTAATACAATAAGTTTCTACTGATTTTGTGACAGCTAATAGCTGTGTCGAAATTACGATACCAGACAGTTAGAACATGGGAATGAAGAACACCAGAAATGTAAATTATCACTATAAAATAAATGTTCTATGAATACTCTAGAAGCAAAAGTAAGTGTTGTAAATATCATGAAGATGGAATAAGAACAATAAAGAAATAGTATGTCGGAATTCTATGTACATAAATATCAAACAACTGATAGACATAACAAGCCGTACCATTATTATAATCGAAAATGGTTACTGATTATTATCAAGTAGTATAATGTAACACACAAAAATTAACAGGGTGAGGTGAGAATGCAAATAAAATGCAAGCAGAATTGACATTGATAGCATCTGTGTTTTTACGAATCTTTCATAGTCGGAGAATTCATTTGAGAGGCTTATCCAAGAATCCTGAAGTGCAGTATCTAAAGCAATTGAGGTAGGTAAGCAAATAAAATTCTGTATATCGCCGGGTTAAACAGAACTCGTCTTTATTGATACTCGATCTCGATGTTGTTCATTTTAAACGTCAGGAAGTACAATTCAACAACGATCAGTTAATGTTATTGCAGCTGGAAGTTTATCACTGCATTAAAATTCTCCAGTTGCTGGTGTAGCATGGCGTCGAGTCCCAATTGACTATGAACACCGCTACAGAGAAACACGTGCCAAATAAATTCATAAAATCCCCCGGAAGCTAAATATCAGAAGGCAGTTAATAGACCAAGTCGAGATATATTTGCTGGCGGTCTCGTGGTATCGAAAGGATACCGAGACCGTGCTAGGATACAAGCTTGGTTACAGAACGTAACCAAATTCGCGCGAAGTCACAATCAAAGTGTAAGAATAATGGATGCTTTTTGACACAGTTAAGCAAAAGCACATTAAAACAGTCACTGGTACAATTGGTTATAATAATAATTGTTTTCAGTAAACCAACCGTGTTCTCGTGATAAAAGTGAGTCACTACACTGGAAAATTAGGAATTTTCAAATCAGCGATAGTGTAGGAACAATAAACCTTAGTCACGTCATTCACTGTTGCCCATCAAACTTTAATTTCAGAAAACTGATCAACACAGGTATATAACTCGTCTCAACTCCTCGAAGTCATCTTTGCTTATTAAGAATCTAATTATTCTCTAGACTACACTAAAGTGACATGATAAGATCGCCATTAGGTTGCGGCGAAGTGGCCCTTCAGTTATCGAGATATGTAGCCGTTACACGAAGATGTGTAAATTAAGCATTCACATTGTGGGTTGAGGCCAGTATTTGGGTGATATTACCATACTCAATACAACTCCTAGAAGCTAATTCCTCGAGTACCTTTACAAGATTGGCAGAAATCTTTAACCTGGGACTTTATATTCATTAACTGAATTTATTATTACAACCATAATTTTCTAATGATTTAACGAAAATTGATGTCCTAAACTCTTGATTCAGCTAATCGCTTAAATAAAGCCAGTATTCTGATAAAGGTTTTACCAATATTTATCATTAAGTGACCAATCATCGGTGAGTGGATTTTATCGCATTGTTTGCACCATATCTGAACTAAATTGAGTGTTAATTATGCGGGCTTCATAATCAATTAAAATAATTAACTGACATTTTTGAATTTAACTTCGTACGGAAGACTAACTAGTTTTTCATCAGTAAATAACCTTATGATGAAAAAATGATTTCTAGCAGCTTTAAAATCAAAATGACCATTTTATTGTGATAAGATACTTATGTCGTTTGAAGATGGTATACACCAGTAACTTGTTTATATTTTTTTGAAACTTTATAATGTGACTGATGACTTAATTCATGATCCGAGTTCTGTTCAATAAAGAGAGAATACTGTGTACTACATGGAACAGAGTAAATGAATCAAAGACTACCACACTAAATTCACCAGTTGTTAAAAGCATTTAATCATTAGCTTTCAACCTCCAATAACTTATTACACTTTTTAAGAAGTGGAAATATTAAGTGGTTAATAAAGATTGACAGGAGACTCTGAATCTAGGCGCCGTGCAAATTCATACTCATGAACACAATGCATAACTACCATCTCGATTGGACACATATATCTAGCGGGAATCGAATCTACGTGTTACTATTGAAATGTTAAGGTCGATAATATTCTGGCACAAGACTAAGATATTTACCACTGAGTATTATCTTTTAAATTTTAATTATTATTATTAGCTTTACTCAATATTATATTTTTGGTACGATATAGAATTTTCAGCACAAAGTATCTCAACAAGTTTCCGTTTCTTATTTCTTGATCAATCCTGACGATAAATATTAAGCGATCGCCAGTTAGATGTTAGTAGTCCAGTCAATCGATATCTGAACAATGTACATTCTTTTCTATGTATTTTACCAGCAACCAAAATGTCTCTGATTGTTCTCTTTCTTAACTTATACAGCGAAAGGTCGTGAACTTTTCACAAACGCAAATGAATAGGTTATGCAATTAATTGACATAATAATCTGTTGAAACAAACAAAAGACAGATAAATATCTTGGCAGGAACAAGTAGCCCAGATATTCAAGAAAGTCGCCTATATGAGTAACAGCCAATGGTAGATTTACTTAGTTGGTAAGACTTTATGATAAGTAGTTAACATGAAAAATCAACGTAAGGAAAACACCAATTAGAAGTTATCAGAAAAATTTATTTAAACAATAGGTTTGCTCCAAAGAAAACAAGACATTTCTTAATACATACATATATATATATATATATATATATATATATATATACATACATATATATATATATATATATCACAACAACCAACACAGAAAAATGAATCAAATTGATAAACGATGTGACAAAATGAATATTACTTTTTTTCTTTTAAATGCAAAAAGCTACTGAAAATAAACAAACTACATAAAATCAACATGAATATACGAATAAAGATATATCACAGTTCATTAATGATTGTATGAATGTAAACTACTGAAATCCCAAATAATTTAATGGGTAAACAAAAACAAACAACAGCCATAGATAATATGTACAAACAATAATAATAATAATGTAGGGATATTCTTACATGAATATTATAATTCAATAATCAAATTGGAGCTCTGTTAATGCAGTCAAGGTTTTAATCTAATAATAGATTTCGTTTGATCTAGTGGATTGTGATCGTTAACCGATAGTGTACATTTTACAGATTTGGAAGAGTTGGAAACTGTAAAGTAATGATTGGAAGGTGAACGCTTTAAATACACCACATCATAGCACACACACACAAACATGCATATACAATGAATGATTTAGTTAAAAACAAGGAAAAATGGCCGGGGAATTTTAAGTGAAGATCTAAAAAAACAACCTATATGAAATCCGCATGATAAAATCCAATGGTGTGTGTGTGTGTGTGTAAAAAGGAAGCACCTTCATGATTTCCACTGGTTTATTTAAATGCAAACACGAAACGAATTAATCATAGAAATACACTGCTGATTCGGATACACGAATTGTTCACATATAAACAGATATGTTACATCATTATCATTGTTAGTGTATACGTTGGGAGAATAAAAATGTCTTTGTTTCAGTATCTGATCTGTAAGAGAAAAGTGGAAACGAGGAAGCATATAGGACAGATTTATTTCTCAACAAACATGTGGAATATATTGAATACAAAGATATGGCATTTTTCGACATGATTTCAAATAGAATAAGAAAAACAGTGATTACAATAAGGTAGCGGAGATTTTTCTTCAGATTACGATATATGCTATTATGTAGTCCGATTAATTGTATAGGGGAATCTATACCACAAATCAGTCAATCATTTTAAGCTGGTCTACAAAGAGTTGTTATTTCATTAATTACTAATAATACTATTCAGTTACAAAACAGGCGTTGTTTTATAGTATTCGTGAGGTCAAATGATATATAAGGTACTAGCGACGGAAGGGGGGCACGATAGCAATTGTATTTTTTGTCAATCCGATTACATCGGTATTATTGTAGTGAATCAGTGGGTTATATCATGTTCAGACTGAAACTTTTCAACAAGTGATATGCTATATGCATTTACGGTACTGCTAAATTGCATGATTCAGTCTAACTTTGCAGTTAGTACCCAGAAACAGTATGAAGAGAAGTGAAATATAATTTGCACATTATTGAAAAGACAGTTTACAGAAATATCCTGCTCCATAAATATGAATTTGAAAGTGATGACAAGTGAAAAGGAGCTATCTCTGATTATTATTTATCACATACAGAATCGTTTAATTTCTATTGTTATGTATTTGACAATGGGACTATGGTTTGTTAGTACAGATTTCCGACTTTCAACTAATAGAATATCGACCGGTAATTGTATGTGATGAATCTTTTTAGAGATACGCTCAAACTGTCTTCCTATCCGGTTACTATAACTCCAACTACTTCTACACGTCAACCGGAACAACAGAGAGAAGTCGTGAAATGCGAGTTAAGGCTTTTCTCCAAGGTTAGTTCACGCACAGAAAAAAAGGGGTACTTAGTTATACACGACCTTGGGCATTAGAAAATTCCTGAAACCACACTAAATAAGGTAGCAGTATACGTAAATATTTAACCAAAACCGTTATATGTGATTCTGAATTTTCTAGATGTCTCCGCGAAGATTCAATTTAACGCTGATTGGACAAAACGTTTCTTAGCATTTCTGGGCCTCTAGAGACTTTTTCGAAGGATATTTTGGGATTCTTCCCATAGTACAGTAGTCTTAGCTTTTGTAACATGGATGCCTCTACAATATGTCAACACGAAAAGTTAATGATAGTTATCGGTTCAGAATAGACGGATTTTCGGAGTCATGATGATTATGATGATAGAAAGTGAATTTTAACCTAACTTTTGGGGCGAACATCTTCCCAAACACCTTTATAAAGTTTTGCAGTCCATGTACCAAAGACTGCTAAAACCAACAGCCATTAAGGCAGACGATTGACTGGACGTGGTAGATTAAATTTAATTTGTAAGGGTTTGGATTATCTCTTTTTTGATAGTATAACTAAATCACAATTGATTGATCACTGGGTGGTGATTAATGTCATGCTTGTCTAGTCCTTATTAGTGCAGATCGAATGCTATCGATCATGTTGCAATGTGGCCACCAGTCTAGGTGACTCGACACTGCGGGCACTATGTATTGAGATTTAGATGGTGGTTGGAGGTGGTCAACAGGAAACCCTGGACCCAGGTTTCGTGCTACTTGGCACTCGTCAGCAATGTGTACCTGTAATCTTGAGGGAACTGGTGCTCCCTAGCGGATTCGATCTCGTGTCACCCAACTTCACAGTCAGAGACCTTACCACTGAGCTATTCGAGCCGTGACTAACCTCCTGTAGGACTGAGATGTTATCACAATTGATTGATCACTGGGTGGTGATCAATGTCATGCTTGTCTAGTCCTTATTAGTGCAGATCGAATGCTATCGATCATGTTAGTCACGGCTCGGATAGCTCAGTGGTAAGGTCTCTGACTGTGAAGCTGGGTGACACGAGATCGAATCCGCTAGGGAGCACCAGTTCCCTCAAGATTACAGGTACACATTGCTGACGAGTGCCAAGTAGCACGAAACCCGGGTCCAGGGTTTCCTGTTGACTACCTCCAACCACCATCTAAAAAGTATAATTAAATTCTGATCAGTCTTAATTGGAATATGTGCATTCTGTATGAATTAATATAACCACAATGTCAGAATTTTAGATAGACATAGATAATATATGTCTAGCAGTGGAAACCAGGACACCTGTTTCGTCATATTTGAGACTCGTTAACTGGATGTATTTGCATCCTGGAATTGATATTCAACCTGGAATTCGAACCCAATATCTTTTACTCCGAACGCCCAAAGTCTTACCCACATGACTACTGAGATTAGACAACCACTCACTTGTGTAACGAGTAAGAATTTTAATCTGAATAGTATTGAACTGGATTACTCCTTTGTTGATAACACGGTAGAGTCTGTAACGAAAAGTACTTGGTTTGAATACGGTAGTTAACAATGACGCCAAAGTGCAGGTACATCCAGCTAACAAGTCTCAAGTAGAACAAAACAAGTGTCCAAGATTCTACTGCTAGCCACTTTCTATGTATACAAATATAGATTAAAGTTTTATTTTCTACATTAAAAACTCACTCATAAATTACATCTTCATCAGAATCATTTATCATTGATAATGATGGATTATCCTTTACATCCATTTCTATAATTAGAAGAAAAAAGTGAATTTATCAACGTTTTTGTAAAATTGTACTTAATTTCAAAAACAAACATCTATAAAACGGTCATAGATCTTTACAATTAGACTATTCGTGAATTGTTCAGAACAAATTACTGTATGGCATACATTATCCATTAGTCATACGCACCGTAGAACCTAACAGAAATGTGCATCAATTCAAGTTCCCATATCACATGAGCACAATGAAATGAAATTGTTTCTTGACAAATCTCCGAGTATATATATATATATTACTTCGTATCATGTCGAGGTTGCGGATAGTCAACCTAGTTAGAAAGAAAGCTAATGGTAAGATATCACTTCCCGACCATATAAATACTACTTCATACTATACAGAATACAATAGTCTAGAAAGCTCGATTACAGTTTGGAACAATGTTGCAAACCCCCCAAATGCCTTGGTACGGCCGAGAGTAGGCAGAGTCCGCTCTCCCTCTCTAAATGCTCTCACATGGCTACGCGTATACAGCCTCTGCCAGGGAAGTCCTACTCACTGCCTTCTCTTGGCAGGGGTGTTGTTTACGAAAATGAGAGGACGAAAAGCGAATGTCCGGCGCTTTAACCGGATTCCAAACCAATGGTGCACATGGGCTCCAGTATCCTGCGGGAACAAATGGCGTATGAACCAATCGTTGGTCACCGGCTTCCATGGGACTGCATATCCTTACGATGCTCCACTGCCTTGTGGATCAGACCTTCAGGTCGAAGACTCGGGGAGTGGCCTTCTAAGAAAACCATCTGCTTCGTTTTTGGCACCCGGGCAGTATCACAGCCCTCACACATGTCGAATGAGATTTGTGTGGCGCATATGTATTTGGTGCCTCCTTGTACCAATATCTATGTGTTAAAATAAATAAATACAAACCCGAGTGATCACTTAACAACAATACTTGACCGTTCAAGAATATATTAGTTACACTCCAGTTCGTGCATAACATAATTTTAAACTAGTATAATTTTTTAGTGTGGAGGATGGAACCTTGAATAACAATAATGCATTCGCAAGTCCCCTGATACAATTTGTACGACAACTTAAGCTAATATCCTTCTATGTATGAAGACCCATCACAAAAATGTCAGTAAGTATTTAAAACATTGAAAGGTTCATTTTACTCGTGTTGACTTAGTCCTCAAACAGTTACAATCAAAATGTAAAAGATCATTTGCAGTAATTGACTGTACCGTAAAAATATTCATTCTAAACATAAACTGAAAGGAAGAAACACTTTTTACTGACCAGCGTAAACCATCTTTAGTTGATGTCCACAGAAAGACAACAAACCGGTAAAGATATATGATGAACTTTCACAAGCTGTCTACTCTCGAACGCATCACTATCTGAATCTGATAACTAAAGTCCACTAGTTATCATCTGTACTTCAAGTACTCCAATAATTTTCCTCGTTTTGCACTCGATATCACGCATACAATTTTCACACATCTGTAATCTCATCAATTGGTATATATATTCATTTTATCATGAGGTTTCATTTGATCTATTCACTTCGATTATCCAATTTAGTCACTTGATATTTGACAGGCCATAGGACATAACAAATAAAACAATAAAATCTTTGTAATTAGACCATCCAGTTAACAGAACAAAAGAAAATACCTTGAAGTCCTATTATACTATAGAGATTGGTTGAAGAGCACGGTAAGAATAAAAATAGCAAATCCATGGTCTGAAGGTGAAGCAGTCCTGCTAGTTGTACTATTTACTAAATTATCTTAATCCCCTTGCTGTTCATCTAGTTCACTTTATTTTGTTATGGTAACTGTGATTTGGAAATTTTGGTCAACATTTATTTTTGCTAGGCACTAAGTTGATCATCACTATCTAACTGACTAATACAACACGAAAAACATCAATCAGAACCCCTTCCTTCACAGTATATTTTTACAATGCAGCATAATGAAATTACCAATATGTACACATATTTAAAGTCATTAAACCAATCTTACCTATTTGTGTATTATTTGGTGGAGAGTAAACAAATGCCAATAGAATTATGTATGAATTAATAGTGAATTGTATCAATGAGAATTCAAGTGTTGAATGATAACCGAGTATATCATTAAATCGATGTTGTAATCCTATGTAATTTTGAGAATTCTGCTGTTGTACAGTCATTTTACTGATATTACCCTTAACATTACGGACATAATTCATGGATTGAGATAATAATCTCTCATTAAAGTGTAATAGACATGCAAATCCTAAGACGATAATGAAGATTATTGATTGGAATGTTAGAAAATATAAACGCAAGTCTAAAATGAAAATTAACAATAAGAAATTTATAGGGGACATCATAAATATTTTCCGTATTTAAATAAATTACGTAATGCTACGTTACAAAATAAGCCAACATATCGATAAAACTAGTAATGAAGCTAATAATATTTATGGTACATTGTTTGTGTGAGGATTAATGATACTAACTGATTGTTTAAACAGAAGGGGGTGCACGACTATAGCTGCTACTTCAACACATTGGCCGGGTTCACATATTGTGATAACTTAATCGAGCTGTATTGGTTGGGTTACTTGTTACTTAAAGTCCCACTATAACAAGCAAGAAAGCTGAATAACGATTGTGAACATTACTGATGATTACTACATGCATGAATAAAGCAAAGTATAGGTAGACTAGAGTACACAGAACATCTAAATAGTGATGATTAAACGTCAAAAGTAATTTATCTACAAATTATCAGATTCAATCGTATAACAAGTTCTATACATACAAATGTATAAAAATCTAATTTATTTTGTAAGGCTTTGAATAATCCCATTGTTAAAAGTTTTGACTGAATTTTGACCAGTCTTATTTGGCATATGAGCATCCTGTGAGGATCGCCTCCATGTAGCTCTTTCCATAAGTTTTTATAGAATAGATGAATTATGGCTAGCAAAAGAATTCGGGTCATACATTTCGTTCTATCAAGGACTCGTGAGCTGGATATATCTACGTTCCAGCGTTAATATAGCAAAAGAAAGTTCAGGTAATCTTGTTTTTGTTATTATGCATCATTTATTGCTTTAAAGGATAACCTCAATGACCTTTTTCTAAATTATATCACCGGAATGATTTTTGATGATATATAACTGGTTGTTACCATTTCAAGTATCCTAATTTTGTCATGCGTCTCGAAGACATTAGATTTGAAAATACGAACAGAATTGATTGATCTCACTCTTTGATTTCTGTTCGGAGTATGAAGCTACCTGAAAAACTCGACTTCTCTGTCTCATATTACCGTGTAGATTATTGAAGTTGTATATTAGCCACCATTCCATTGAGTGTTCTATAAAACCTGTTCAAATAAGAATATTCTCGATCTTCCTCTAGTTAGCCATTATAGCAGACCCGTGACGAACCTCAATCTCAATATATGACTGCTGCTCACACTGGGACTCAAACGTAGTACCTTTCACTTAAAATTACCAACGGGTTATCGGCTGAGCTATCGAGTGTAAATAGCCACTGACATGTGCAAAGAGTATGAATGTTTATATTTATAAACGTTAATACAAACCATCTGTAGCACTACAAACCCTTATTGATTATTCATATCCATCTTAAAAGTGAGCGGCTATTTGAACTCAGTAGCTTAATAGATAATGCGCTAAGCATTTGAAGTGGAACGTACTGGGATCCAGTCCGGCTGTGAACATTAACACTGACATATGGCAGGTATATTCTGTTGACGAGCTCCATCTAGAATAAAAACCTACATACTGGATTCGACTGATAGCGATATTCCATCTATATACTGTAAAAGCGCACAAAATAATTCAAATAAAACCTGGAGTAAGATAAATCCATAAAAAATATCAATCACTTACTAAAATATGGTAATTTTCTTAATTTATGACAGGCTCGAATGAATAGCACAGTGAATAGTACCACATAGATAAAACCAAATAGACTAATAAAAACCACAGTAAACTAAAACAAACAATGAAAGGATAAAAAAAATAAACAACCTTAATGGTTTTTCGAGAGAGAGGGAGAGAGAGAAAAGGAAAAAACTATCTCCCAAATTTGTTTATTCTCACTGCGAGAATAACTATTCATTAAAGATCAGGAGTGAGCAAATCCTTTTCTATGGTAAATTTCTCGCAATAATCAGAACATATGCAAGAAACTAACCAATATGAGAACACCTATTTAACAAGACCATACACTCAGACGACAATCCAATGGTGTATGATTCTAGCTTTATACGACCATTTTTATATGGTGTAGTGCTTAAATGAAGTTATAGACAAAATAATACATCCGCTTTGCACTCGTTGAACGATTCCAATAAAATTATGGCTTCCTACAACAATGTTGACAAAAATTCAACCCAAAGATAGTCTGATTGTTAACTACACGATTATTGCTTAATTACTCATTTTTCCTGGAGTGATTTTTACAGTTTTAGGATAGTTTACATTACAGTCTGACACCAACTGGAATAACATTGCTCATTATGAGACGTGAAAATCTTGAACCCAAACCGATGTGAGGAGATTGTGAGCGTGCACTGTTTAAGAGTCCCAGACTAGGGCGAAACAACCATTCAGTACTTTCTTGTCGTTACTTATTCTCCAGCTGAAGTCAATTTTAAGATGAAAATGTCTATTTATAGAAAGTTTTATCAAAGCTAAATATATCTACACATCATTTTGATATGGATTAAAAAACCCTAAATTTAGTCATTAAAAATACTTCGTTGAATTATATCATCATCTTGAAACACTAGCTTCGGTAGCTTAGATTTGTTTTATGAATGTCGTCATGGAGACGTCTACATAGCGCATTATTTGCTGAGGTTGGAACTGGGTGAAAAAAAGCAGGAAGGTGGTTAGTTTATGGCACCGCTATGGTATAGAAGAAAGTTATATACAACTGGCATCTATCGGTCCACTATATTACTTTGGTTAAGATCCTGGAGATGATGCACAATTCAGTGGCTTCAGACGTTATAAAAAAAATGGTAATTCCACTGAAATTTCCTATTACATTTGAAAAACCCAGAGGAATTCTCTCAAATGTACCTCTTGATCAGTTTTTTTTTATATCTAAACTGTATCTTCTATTAAACACTATTCTTATCCACTTATATTTCCTTATACTTCACTTCCCATCCTCAATTCTCCTTGGTGTTATTTCTTTAGTTGCGCGGTGTACACTATTTTTGGCATTCAGTTGTACCAGATTTTATATGTATTAAACAGATAAATGAATAAGTCTTAGTGATTACCGTGATAGATAACTTGGTAAAATATATAATCAAAATAAATTATTCAAGCATTAATTTGTACAAAAAAATAACTTACGATAAGAAGATCCGTATATTCTAGAATATCAAACACTGGTTCGTGATGTTCCACATAAACTTTCCAAGTAATTAATAAGAATATGATTAACCAGAATATGCTAATCAAACAGATTTTCGGTAGATAAAATTTTTGAAACGTCCTTTTCGACTGTATACATATATATGCAAGAAGACACAAATGTTGATTAGTTGAGAGAAGAAATTCAAATAAAAAAGTCAACAAGAATACAGCCTTAATAAAATAAGCAACGTATTTTTTGATGAGATGATGTTTATCAAAGTTGAAGGGGAATTTTTGAGGCGACAGACAATTTGTACTGCCTCACCTTTCATCATGAATTCAATACTTATACGTTTGCTAAGTGAACAGATGTAGTCAGCAGGTAATCTTGATCGACTTAGGTTTCGTGCTAGTTGGCACTTGTTAACAAGGTCTATCTGATACTTCCTTTGCGATTCAAATCCTCACAACCGAGCTCTACAGTGTGAGATGTTACTACTGAGATATTCAGCTAGTGACTGAAGTCCTATATGACTGAAACATTTACAATTGGTTGGTCACTAAGTGGTGATTACTATCATGTCTTTCTACTCTTTTAGTCTTGACCGAATTCTATTGATGTCTATATGTCATTAAAGAAGAACGTAAATGTTTTCCACACACATAACCAAATTATCATAATTTAATCACTAAGCTTTTTATAGTTGACTACTGTATAAATAGGAAATATATGTAGACATAATTCAATATAAATTCATTACTTATGGAATGACCTGGTGTTAAAATTAAAGAAGTTTGATAAACATATCAGCTGCTATTGAATTGATGATTCAAAAATTATAATTTTATATTCAATAGTAGTATACTAATAATGATTATCGTAATGAAACAAAAATCATTATATAAGATCATTTTAGACAGTCCCATTATTGAGTTAGCCACTGATAATTAACATACAGTCTGGCACATATATACGTTAGCGCAAGTTTCTGTACCACATTAGTACGATGAGACAAATCTACAAAGACGAATAACAAAGGAGTTGGACTAATGTGATGCTAGTGATAATCAAAACGACTCAACATTGAAGTATATGATCCCACAAGACTAAGTGAAGAGGTACATATGAAGAAATACTGGGACTAAAAATAAAGAATAAGGTAAAGAGTAAATGACTCGGTACTATTTTGACCACTGGTTATCAAGAGTGATAGCTTAGTGATTAAATCACTTGTCAAGGTACGAAAACGGCTTCGGTCACTTTGGTTAGAATAACTGAGGGGTGAGGGAGAAGCATCAGTAGTCCTCGTACACAATAAAGTGTGGCTCAAAAAGGTATACATAAGCCTGTAATCGCTAAGTAATTTAGTTATTATTCTCAATTCGATCGATCAGTCAGACAATACACTTTTATGGAGAACTCCGATTAGTCTATACATTAATTACGTATATGGAAATATAAAAATTAAACATATATATTATAGGGATTTCTAAGTAAACATACCGCAGCTTAATTGATCATAAGCAATCTATTAATTTAGCTGTATCTCACTTGTATAGTTGAGGTGGATTATAATTACATGTTCAAATAGTAACTATTTGTTCGTAGATTCTCATCCTACTACCTGTAATCCTTTTTCAGTTTAGATAGTTGAGGAATGATAGCACTTTGACTTACATATGATACAAATGTGATTTAAAGCGTAACCAAACACATGAATCTACATTCGATTGATTTGTTCCAGTCAAATTCTAAAATCTGAAAAATACGCTCCGATATTTCGTTTATCTGATTCTGATTTTTTTTAATGCTAGACAACTGGATAAGCTAATACACAGTATGTTTGGTAAGTATTTAAACTGAGAGCTGCCAAGAATACCAGAGTTATATAAACATAACGAAATAAATAATCAATTACATTGTAATCAAACGCTTAGGCTGATCTCGGTAGCTTGTCTCTATGAAATTACTAGTCAATGAATAGTTGGTGTATGGATGGATATTCATGAGTTTCTGACGCGTAACTCAATGATCACCACAAAATGGATCTTCCTACATAGTCACTAGAATAAAACACAAAATGACTTTTTCTAGTTCCTGAAATGCGAAATTACCATTCATGGGAGGCATGAGGCAACCAGTAGTAACTAAAATCATCGACTACCAAAGACTTTCAAGGATGTTTTAAGTAATCAAGATGGAGATCGTACAAGTGTACTAACACAAATTATGAGTATTTTGAAAAGAAAAAGATCCATTCATTCTAAATTTTATGAAATAAATTTGTTATAACTTTAGTTCATGTATTTATTGGACAGAGGATTATTGCACATTGAAAGATTTAACAAAATAAATTCAGTTATGAAAGACAGTAATACAATTAGATTTTTACTTACAATTCGTATACCATGGAATATACATAACCAAACTAATAATAATACAGCGACAAATGTGATTTGAAACAGATAACCAAGACATGATGGAAACCAATTTGTTGTTAAATATTGAAGGGGATATAAAGGATCTACATAATGCATAGAATGAAATTCTTTTTTGAAACTTCTTTAACGAATTAATTATCTGTACATCATGATATAATAGGATTAAACAAATTTTTAAGCATGAAAAACATTTGTCATACAATACAATGCGATGGAATAAACAAACAGACTTCTTGTGTGATTTCTAGCGAGAGTGTGATCGGACCGTAATACAGGAAAGAAGTGGTATTGACCTAGTCCAAGTACTGATTAATTCGCCTAGAGTTTCAAGACCAGTACCTATAACCTTCGGTTAATTAATGGCACAAAAATAATGAGATAAGAATAACGCTTAACGAAAGCAGTTCCTTCACGCTTGTACACCCAATAGCAAGATAGAACATGCACAACAAGTAGGAATTTCTAATTATTAGGTTCAGTTCATGACTCAACTCATACAACAATAAAGAGTAGACTCTTGATCACATATTAATACAATAAAGAAATCACTGTCAGTATAACTACGCCATAGGTGAGAGCTGAGTAGTAGGTGTGTAATCAATTAACAATAACTTAAGAAAGGCACAACATACAATTACAGTTTATGAATAAAAAACGCTTACAAACAGGAGAATAAAAAATACAATAACTTAGATATTTCATTATTGAAGGATAAGAACATAAACAATGACTTCAGTTAGTAGTATAGTATCGAAAGTTCAATGTTGCTCATTACTTACTCAGTTATGACAAGGATGTGAACATTTTTAAATATTATTGGTACAACTAAATTATCATTTTCGATTTATATACTTTTACCAAATATTGGTGGGTATTTTTTATTAAGAATTCTTAACAAGAATAAGAGTGATTAGTGTGAAGTATATGTAATATGACAAAAATTAAAGAACAAATATAAAGTTGCAGCTAGTCCATTACCTATCTCATCATATTTAACCAGTTATTAAATTAATAGGTAACATGTCTGATAGTGATATTACTTCTATTACCATGATATTTGTTCTCATGATTTCATCTCCTTGCATTGATATGGTGTAATAACTTGGATCGATGAACATATATGCTACATTCTATGTTGCTTATGACTGACTAGCACGTTACATAGGCCACACAAAGAGATCACTTCCCAAACGCATCTCAGAACACTATCCAGCTTGGCTCTTAAAAGGAGAATGTAAGACAATCATTAGTTCTATACAGTAGCATTTAATTAACTGTGGACACATCGCTCCAAAGGATTCCTCTTTTAAAGTAATCTACAGAGTCAAAGGAACTGCATCGAAGGGGGGGTCGAATCAATATTTTATGCACTACTGAGGCATTGGCAATCCACGAACTCAAGTCTGAACTTTGCGTACAGAAACGATTCGTTCAACCTCTCATCCTTTCTTGGCTCTAATCCCCTTAATGGGTTTGTTCCTGGTTTTTCTTCTTTTTTTCTCTGAACTTTTATTTGATTGTTATTGAATTTTTAAATTGTTTTGCAATCTCTAGTCTGTTATTATTACTATTATTCAGTTTATTATTATGACCTTTGTGTTTGTCGTTTGTCTTCATATCTGTCAATTGGACTATTATCTGACCCATAAATTATTTTTTTCCTTACCCTTTTATTAATGCGTAACCTCATTTGTTATTTAGTCTCGAATCCATTTATTATGCAATCTTTTCTATCTTCCTATAGACATACATTTTCCATATATCTGTATATACGAATGTACAGCTTAAGTAAATGATTTCATCCAAAATAAAATTTTCTTCGCTGAATTCTCTTTTTCTTATTAAATTGACTCTCACCTTTCTCTCAGTCCGTACTTTATTGTAGACATAATCCATCAAAATCTAGTGAACAGATTATTTTAAGTTTAGTAACAGTATTGTAATGGACGAAGGACTTGGGCAGGGTAAGCCACTTTATTGTATTAAGCGAAATCACGCATTGTATTTTGAAGATATGAAAACAATACATTGAATACATAATTTGCTCATCCTCCTTGAATAATCTTTCACAAGCTCCATAGTTCTTCTATTCCTTTTGCTTCTCTTCATTTCCCTATTCTGTCGGTAACGTTCCTACTTCCAATTCCTGATACATACTACTTATATCTGTCCGTATAAGTAGTACACATTTCAGTAGTAATATAAAATCAGTGTAAACCAGTGAATTTACGGTAATTCATACACTAATTTAAAACTGTTAGATAATTTTTTTCTTTTATTCTTAGGTTTACATTTTATTCAATGATTTTATACTCACTATTATAAAGTATGAGTAGAGGCAATAAGATAGCCATACAACACTGTTCAATTGTCCAATAATTAAGACTGAATTTTTTCATCTTAATATAAAACCAAATCTAATAACAACAAATAGAGAAAAAGACAGTTGCAAAGAAAAGTAAAGTCAACACTTATTTACAATAACTCAATAAAAGTATTAAATTAAATCTCAAAAAAGACTGTCAGTTTAGGAGTAAATTAACTGGAAAATATAAACGGTAAAACTATAATTGTAACTAAGAAAGGCATCAACCAAAATTGAGAGAACTTCTTTCACCTTTCAATGTGAAATTCAAAGATGAATCAATGTTACCATTGTATTACATGAAAAATATATTTACAATTGAAATCACTTCGTATAGTGTTTACAACATTTGAAATTGTTAGAAACAAACTTTTGTTTTCATTAAAGGGTATTTATGACAATGTTCAATATATCAAGTGTTCTTTTTTAAAAAAAAAAAGAAGACGTAAAACAATTAACTATTGTTTTAATTTACTTTGTTGTTAGTGATTTACTGAATGACCAATGAGTTGGTAGAGTGAGAATATTAAAATAGATAACAATTTTATTAAGTACGACTTCTTCACAAAAATACGGTGACAATGGTGGTTCACCTATAATTTCATCTTTGGAATTGTACAGAGAATTTATGGATAGACATTTTATAGGTGATAATGACTGAGGAAGATTCGGAAGTTATTAGTGTAAATATATTACTACTAAGATTAATGATGTTATGTAGCAATATTTTTACAAAATTAATATTGGAAAACTGACAATAACCCTTGTAAAACTAATAACCTTCCTAAAACCATTAAATTCTAACAGGTTTTGTTAGTTCTGTTGAGAAATAATTTTGATTGATACAAAATCTCTGCGAATTGGCTTCAACACCACGTGATCATTTGGGAAATTGCTCAAGCTCGTTCCCATACTTATGTTTTTATTGTGAAATCGAATCTTTCCATAGATAAGAATTGATTTTGTGATGTATTTTTGAGGGTATTTAAATGCTAATATTTTTATTAACCTAAAGATATTACTTAAAAAAATTCATATTTTTTCACTCCACTTTATTCACAAGTCGGAGACTGTATAAAATAATTTTATTGTTATACATGATTAACCCTTAGGTTTTTTTATTAACTGAATTCATACATATTTATGCAATACAAAAACCAATTAGAGTAAATTATGTACAGTCTTAACGGATTTATCCTCTATACCTCAAACAGGTTACTTGGTAGTCAAACGTTACGCAATAAAATCTTCGAAGATACTTAAGAAGAAATACATGAGTTACGCATGTCTCTAAAATATTTACTGGCCTCATCTTACAGTTGTAGAGCATCATGAAGTGAACTACTATAAAAAGTATTCACTCTTGGATAAATAGTCGGATAAAATACACCTGGTACATAAATGGTATAAGTTTGCCAAGCCAGATGAACCTGGTAAATTCATGTTGACATTTAGTCAACGGCAAGCTAATCGAAGACCATTAAGATTTGTAAATAATCAAAATGACCTAAACATTCGATCACTTCACTATTTCAAAACTAAATGATGGCGAGGTTGAAAATTCTGAGGTTTGAAAGTGAAATTCATATTGTATTTCATATAGTAATGGAAAACAAATAGAATATAATAACTACATAGGAAGCATTATGTAGACCACACCTACTATATGAAAGTCAATGATAATATCAGATATAAAAACCGAAATAGAGAAATTGTTGTAAAAAATTTTCAAAACAACTGGAACTCGAATATTTATGACAAAAACCCTAACCGTGTACACATTAGTGACTAAAGAGTGATTTAATTTATTTACCGCGTACATGTTTATGTACTTGGTTATGAGCTACACGGTTTGTGTGAGGACTAACGATACTACCCAGTTGCATAAACCGAAGTAGTTGAACCTGGGATTGAGCTTGCGACCTAATGGTTGAAGTGCTTTAATCACGTCACACCTTCATAACTATTGAATAACTTGTGCATGTATCCGCGAAGTTCTGGTGAGAATTTATAACTACTGAACTCCAACTAGTTTGAAAGTGAGATAGTTACTTATTATTGGTTTTGGATATTCAAATGAAAACTAATAGATCATAATCGTAGAGAAATTACGATGAGATAGTCTAGAGGCAAAGCACTTGCTGCGATTTTTATCAATATCATGATTCGCCATCATATATATATATATATATATATATATATCAACGTAGGAGGTCTGTGTAGATCGCTGAATTTTATAGTGTAAAACACGAACTGACCTTAGTCAGACAAACATTGGAAACTGGGAATCACTGGACAGCTGCCTCTCTCTAGTATCCACAAAATCACGAACTGATTGAACACAGAAATTCAAACCATTTGATCCTGAATCAGTAGTCCGAAGGTTGGGCGCCTGCTGTGAAATCTGAAGGTCCCGGATTCAATCCTTAGTGGGGTTATGAATGAGCACTGCTGAGGAGTTTCATATTAGGACGAAACGGCTGCTCAGTATTTCCTTGTTTAAAAAGATTGCTTAACTAACGCTAATTCGTTATACAACCCATAAAACACATATATGTGTTGGTCAGAAACTTAGTAATAATAATAATAATAATAATAATAATAATAATAACAATAATAATAATCAAGTTCACTTACAGTAACTGCCTCTGAAATAACAAAAAGTATGAACTTCACTACTAATTCCATATAAGTAAATTCAATAGTATAATATTGAAAAATGAAATCCACACTGATTATTTTAAATAATAAATGTTCGCCTTCATAATCTTCGTATTTTAAATGATTATTACTTAATTCATGATAGAATGTTACATGGAATTTATAAATGGTGAAATCAACTGGAATAAGATGAAATAGGAATAGTTCGTCACATTTCTGAAAAAAATAAAAAAATAAACAACACAAATACATAAAAGTTACTGAGTTACTAGTGGAATTCTGACGCCCTCTCGAAAAAAAATGAATGGATCAAACTACTTCTAACTTGATATTGCTCCTGAATATTGATTCAAAACGTTTACGGGATACATTAATTATTGGAATGACATTTTCCATAAAAACAGTGAAAATTTATTAAGGTTTAGTTGCGGCTAATAGTGAGATATAGGACACGTATCTCGCTTTATTTGGAGCTCACTAGTTGGATATACCTAAGTCCCAGTCTTGATGTTCACACAACGAGACTCGAATCCGCTGTTTTTCTCCTTAAACGCTAACATGTTATTCACTAAGCCCCAATTTATTATCTTGAAAACTTCATTAATTTGTATTGTGTTCACAAATAGAAATTATTGCTATATACTCAGAGTTCAACTATTATAAATAGATCTACCTAATAAACGACAAACACACTATGCACCATAATGATAATATATTGTTGTCCAATAAAGTTCAGAGCAAAGAAACTTTCAGGACAATACTGAAGAATAAATTGTTTAAATCAATAATCTATACTTCTATGACAGCAGTGTAGCCGCTGTAGACAGTTAGAAAATAATTATTGTTAACCCTTTGATCGGATGAAAGTCAAATAAAATAATGAAAGCAAATTAGTTCTCAGACTATACGTCAAGGTTCACAATACTGACAATTTAATGCTACACAAGTCCACACGACACTGATTCGATACATTTGTTTAAAGTTATATGGGAATAATTAATTTTCTTCTCTGTCTGAAGTCCGCCGAAAAGTCAGTAGAAACACGGGAGTGTCAAGTGAATACTGGCCGAAGCAGCCGCTTAGTGGCCAAGGTGTCGAACGTTCAGCCACTAAGTCTGAGGTTCGAACCCCGGCTCTGCCTACTTCTGTTTCAGCAAGCAAGTAGTATCGCTATCCATTGCACTTAAGGTGTAGTTTATGTTTAAGTACCTGGAGAGTGAGTTAATCTAAATTTGTAAATTCTAAATAAATGCTAGATGAAAGTACAACAAAAGTTCACTACAATTTTTCATCAATCTTGAATAGCATTGGAGACATACTTATCCAAGTAAGCATATAACGGACAGATGCTACGAAATGATTTAAAGGCTAGCTAAGCTGTTTAATTGTCATAGTTGATGTGATTCGCATCAGAATAATTGGAAGTGACCAATAAATGACTAGCTAAACAAATATTTATATATATTATTTTGTTAGGTAACTATCAATAATTCAGTCTGGTGAGCGGCACGTTGTATTACTACATACTACCAATCGATTAACGCATTTTATACATTAATTTAATCATCCTCAAAAATCTTTTCCCTATAAATCGTAAACGGCCAATTTATAAAAAAGACCAAAACAAGTAAAAATAGATAAAGTAGTTGGCAATTACAAAAGCTAGGGAATGTTTTAATGATTGAGTTACTTGACTTTTAGCCAGTAAGATCGGGTTTCATCCACATTCCACCAACTTTGATTTAGGAAACTTAATAACGTTATTGTGCTTGACGCTACGAGTGTGGCTAAAAGTCGATCATATGAACCTGCGCTTCGGTAATGAATTACTTTGGTTTCAGTTATTATCCTAAGTATTTAACAAACACAAAAGAATATGAAGAGAGAACATATCTTCATTACTGGGAGAGATTTTAAACCTTGTCACGCAAGGCCTTTAATCATTAGTTCTCAGCACTATGGGGACTTAACACAAGATACTTACATCTTATTATGGGACTCAGACTAATGGTCAACAAATTGAAGAACTAGTAATATGTTGACTTGGGTGCTCTCCCATTATTACATTTTAATCATATAACGAAATCGAAGGGTTTAATTACAATATGAAATAAATTAGACTACTGAAAATTAGGAAACGATAAGTAATGCTTATATTTTGTGCAGTAGGACTTGAAATAAACACTTGTATTTGCAACATTTAAGCTTCAAGATGAAAATCTTTTGATCTAAATTAACTTATTCTTTTCAAATGGATGATATTTTTTGTTATGACCCAGTAGTTTAAAGGCTGACATACCTAAATGTAAAACTACATAAACTTATGTTCAGTTTCAAAACAGATTATGGACCAGTAATACTGTTTAGTAGCACCTCATCTAGGAATGAACACGGTAAATTTGGTGTTACTAGCAAAAAGAAAATACTGTTTTCAGAGGTTATCGACCAGATTATCGTGATTTCTGTACAGGAAGCTTAAATATCATGTTTAATATCAATTCAGTAACAAAAAGACAGTTTCATAAACATATCTTCCAATGATTTCCTATTAATTGTGGTAAGTAACAACAGATTACTAGAAAAAAATTGAAGAGGAAGTATGATCATGTAATTGTTACGAAGTAACGGAGACTTAGATAAACGATCGAATATTTTGGGCATAAAAAAATACAATGTTCAACTTACTGTATCGGGACAATTCACTTGAATAGTCCGGTTGTGAATTGGACCCATTTGGAATACAAAAGTTTTATAATTTGGATCTGATTTAAACATTCCAATTCTACTCCCAGCAGTAGCTAGATGGGGTATCTGTACTTGAATAGACGTATTGATATTTACTGATACTTTGGCATTTTCTTTATAAATGGAAAGTATTTATTAATGAATTTTTTTAAAAAGAATTACAGTTAGTTCATGGAAATGTGGGGAATAAAAGTATAGTTACATAGATCGTTGACCAAAAAATCACTAATTAATGTCATTATGGGAAAGGGTTTGGATGATTGCGTTGTTGATACTCTTGACTGAATTTTGATGAGTCTGTTGGCATAACTCAAGCCCTTTCTAATAATAATGAAACACATGTCAAACTCGTTATGCAAGTGAGTGGCTATTTGGACTTAGAAACTAAGTGAATAACTCGTTGGGTGTTTGAAATAAAGAGGAGCGGTTTCGAGTCCCTGTTAGAACACCAGTGGTTGGATACATGTTTATACGGTTGGCGAGCCTCGAAAACGGCGAAACGTGATTCCTGCTTTACAATACTAGCCACCCAATATAGACTACTGAATAACTTCAATTTTAGACTTTCACTTATTGGAACTAGATTACAGCTGCTAGCATTCAAATGTAATGTAACTGGACAATAATCAGTTTTATGTGTCCTGGTTTGAAACACAAACCATAGAAGATGAAACGAGGTCTGAACCCGTAGTTCAACGATGGTTGACAGCAAAATAGGACAGCCGCCAAACTACAAATGTAAAAGTACTAAGTTCAAACAACCACAGCGCAAGTTTAATAAGCTACTGTGTTGCTGAAATCCATGAATCATGTAGAATTGTTTTCTGGGTAAAATAAAAATTCTTGCATAAATAAGTTGACACTATATATCTCGTTTTGAAAGATTTTTTAAAGATTCGTTTTTTTATTTCATCTAAACATACTTTATCAAATAATTTGGGAATGGGATCAAAATCCATTTGAATAAATAACCAGAGAATAACAAAAACTATAGTTCGTTACAAAACTAAAGTTAATACAGAAAACAATTAACAAATAAAAAAGATTACAAATCACATACGTTCTAAGGGCGCACGATTAATTATAGCAGATAACCACAGCTCACGATGAAAAACTGAAAGAGATGGAGAATCTACCTCGCATACACTAGATTCTAAACTAGTTATACTTGGACGAATCAAAGTGGAAACAGTAACGGAATTTGAAACATTGGGACCTTTAGTGAGTAAATTTTAAAATAATTGTAGCATACCAACTAGACCAAAAATTATAGAACATCCAATAATTAGGGAGAATGCAACTGTGACAACAACGAAATAACGCTTTTTCATTGTATACAAACGCATTGGGACAGATCTGGAAATGAATAAATAGATTATTGAGTAAAAGTTATAACACTCAATCTAACGGTAAATATACAGTAGTAATCCATTGTCTATTTACTAAGTAAGCAGTAACTGGAAATAGTTACAATAAAAATCGACTGAACGACGACCTTAGAAAAAAAACCTATTTAACTACAAGTCTGTGACTAAACCAAGAGGCCCACGTGACTATCGTAACCAAGTGTTGGAGACTCTTGGTGACATGGCTCAGAATCGATCACAATGGCGTAGGTGTATACACTGTTTTCCCTTAAACTATGAGATTAAAATCGCTTCATATCATTCTTTCTTTCTGCACCATATCCTGATATGTAATCTTTCTTTTATATATTACCACCATTAAATTAACTACTTCTATGAATCCGGTGTTCATCTCGCTGTGCTAATGTGGTGTGGCAACTTGGACCGATGCATACATGTGCCTGGCCCTACGTTGTAGCTGAATGAATGACAGACCAAGAGGCTTGTATAATATGTACACATTTGCAGTCATATAAAACCACTACTTAAAAATCTCATGAGTTTATTTTCAGTTTTTTCGAGATATAACTGACATTTAAAGACCAATCTTATTCTAGCCAGTATTATAAATCGGGATACTCCGTTAAAGTAAATGCTAAAAATATCCCATTATAACTGTCAAAATGGCCCACGATAGATGTTCAGGGAATAAGCGACTAAGGAATTCGGAAAGCTATCAAATGAAGTTAAGAAACAGACTAGTGGTGAATTTGCTATGGTATGCACGCTACAAAAGAAATGAATCGTAATGCATAGATACAAGTTAGACTGAAATTCACATGTGCTTCGTTTCACATTCAAACGACCCCATAGCAGTTAACTTTTGTTTGGCATATTTATGTATTTCCAAGGTGTATCAAAGTTTTTGTTTTAGGATAAAATAAATGCAATTAGGGAATGTTACTGTTCTCTCTGCAGCGGAAATCCCCAAAACTCACCTAAAGCTAATGTGATCTAGGTAATCTAAAATTGGATGGCAGGTGAACGTAACTGTCTGAATTAGTGCAGAGGTTTATCTGTTATTTTAGAGACAAACTTTGCTACTCGTGGTAGTAAAAGTGGGAAACTATGTTGGAATTATCGCAAGTATTTATCCCGATATATTTAAAATAGCACTTCTTTGAAGATATCAAATGTCCCACATCACAATGACATAAAGGGGGAAATCCGAACCATTTCCTCCTGACAGCCGAAAAAGCAGACATTTAAGCGCGTTTCCCCATTATTTCCCCCTTTATTTTTCAGCGTATTTCACCGTTTATTGGTTGCTTGGAGTAGCTAAACTGATTGTAATCCAGAACAAGTATTATTTATTTCATAGCACAAAATTTAGCTTATTCACGGCAAGTAATATTACTTGCCTATATAGGCACGCCATTTACTCTAAAGGAGAACAGTTTCGAAAATTGCTTGGAAAAAAATCATAACAGTTGCCGACTGAAACAAAAAAGGAGTTGGCAAAAACTTACGTCCCAAGATCTCGTTGCAAAAACATGGTTACGAGTAACTAAGATTCCAATTCGAGTGAAGGTTTCTTATAGTAACGCACACCTCCGAAAATGATACACGCTGTTCATTAAACAATAACCAGAATATTTATCAAAGATATGAGTGGATCAATTGACTGTTTATCTCACTTGTTGTTATCTCGGTACGGTTCCAGGTATCTGGTAATATATATAGAGGCTGTTACTATGTACATCTAGCGACCGGGCCGATCAATCTATTCATTCTTCTTAAGCCACATTTTTACCCTGTCACTTATTCGCTTATTAATCCTGACTGTTTTTTATGTGACCGTATGTGTGTGCATTTCTCATCACATGTCTGTAACTTTTTTGTTTGATTTTAAACATAGATTCACGCTTAGCCTTATACACTCCTTAATTTCAACGAACGAACTATACGTAGCCTACTCAGTCGACAACATCAGCCTTTTGCTCGTACTCCTCTTTTTCAGATCCCCAACTCCTTTAATGGTTAAAGTTGCATCATTCTTCCTGGTTTTCATGTTCTTTTTTATTGCAAGCAGATAGATAACTCATTAATCTCATGGATGCTGATAAAGTATTGCCGATCATAAGTTGCTCATAATGTCCTAAATTATTGTGAGTCGCTCATTGCTTTGTTTTCTTCTGAAAACTTCACAACGTAACCTCTTGCATATTCTTTGATGTTCTATCTATCCTTACCATCTCTTAACCACATATAATCTGACAACTGTCTTATAACTTATACCATTAGTTATCTTCATAGAAGTGTGATATACTTAATGGATGTCCAACCCACAATACAGGAGCCTTAACCATTTAATTTGCTCGTAACATGGAGCCAGTCGAGACAGTGTATTCCAGAAAAGATTCTAGGTGAAAGCAATATTCATACACACCACAAACGTAAGAGAGCCTAATATTACAATAGGAGAATGGGTGGCGTTACTGACCAGCAAATATGATAGTGGGGAGATAACATCAATTCACTCATGTCTGTAGGGCTGTACATGTTGTTAAATTACGACTCATTATGATCAAGTGGGGTGTCACGAAGCTATAGTATTGATGATGCTTTATCACGCAAAATACCTCTTTAACTCGTGTTTGTAACGTTGAATTGGTTTCACTTCCTACCGAGTAATGTTATCGCAAGCAAAACTAGACAATACGCCAAAAATGAAATCTGCCCATGACCCTGTAAAAGCGAAAAAATAAAAATGAGCTGAAATAGGTACGATGAAAATGGGAGACAGCCGTTTGTGTATCAGAATATCGTTTTCTGTACTATATTTTAAAACTTCTTTTAATCCCATAATTTCCATGGATGGCGTCAGCGAATCGTATCAAATGAGACGGAATATTCATGACATGAAATTCAGACAGGTCAAGTTTCAACCCACTGTCTACCGCCCGTTCCGTCACTATTGTAGGCTCCCTTTGGAGCATTAGTGAATCCCTTCCGCTTTTTATGAATCTCCAAGCCTTTGCGTCGTCTGCGTAAATCAGTGCCGTTGAGCTAATTTTATCTACCAGATCGTTGATAATGATCAAAGTCAGCGTCGATGTTATAGCAATGCTGCAATGCAGAATATATCTCCACTGGTGTTGGTGCCCGGCCCGCCAACACTAGTTTTGCTGGAGATCCTCTTCTCCGCTTTGTCACAGCTTCAGTTGGAGTGGTTAAGAGTTAGCCGACAACCTCTTGGTAACGTCAAATAATTATATCCCAAATATCTATTCACTTACTTATTTTGTGCACGCATTGTTTCATATAATCCTATATTGAGTTCAAATCAGAACCCCGCGCTTCAGCTGTTCTGTTCCACGATCTAAATAAAGATATACTACAACAACTAGTCTGGCTTTCTATGCATATAAAACGAGGGATAACTACCAGTTCAGACGGCTTTTTCATATTTTTGTCAGGAGATAAAAGTTACTCAACATGTCCCCGGCACTTATATTTATTGGGCAAAACAATCACGTACTAGCTGGTCTACTGAGTTTATTGCAAACAGTTGCTGAGAGCTATGCGCATGTTTTCTGAAATCAGCCTTTTCATCGCCACATTACGTACCACAATTGGCGGTTAATCCTCAGCCAGATCCCTTACCGGTGCTTCTATTGACTATGATTAAATTAAAATCAATGACCGAATTGTGATAAACGTTTATAACCGTGGAAGAAGATACTTCAATCAGACGGATAAGAAATAGCGATATCAACACTTAAAAGATACAAAGTGCTTGCCTCTTATTAGAACTCAGAAGTCAGGTGAGTACCAAAAGGCCTAATATCAACGTGATTTCAAAAATCTAGCTAACATCGAGAACAGATGGCATCGAAATTCAGTGTTTCGGCTTTCTAATTTTTGAACAGTAGAATAAACCGTTGGAGGTTGACGTTAACTAGTAACTAAAGAATTCCTTGATTATGCAAGCTGTTCAAAAAGTGATATACTATTCGGGGATTTGTATATCGACGAGATGTCGGATAAGAGACAAAGGTAAAACACCCATTTAGTTGTAGTGTATCATCAAATTGAACTTATGGTAAGTCGTTTCGTTCAAAGTAAGTCTTAGCCATAGTCAAACACGTAAGTTAGCCTTATAGTAATTAACTAGAACACACGCTCATCATAATAACCTAGAGACAAGATCTTCAAAAACATCGTTTTATTACAAACTTCTGGGAACCGTAATTTCCATAGTTTCAGTCCAAAACATTAAAAATCCAATCCGTTACAACTTATGACGGTTTCTTCCGTCCATGGATCACCCTTTGCTTACGAGTATGAGGTCATGTTAATAAAATACTTGACGCTGACTTTGAGAAATGATCACCTAGTCACCCACCACACGTTTGTTCCTACCACAGTTTTCTAAGCAAATGTGTTAGTGTATCCTAACTTATGTATGGCATACAAGAAGAAAGTCAGCTGTCACCTCAGCTGAAGACTGAAAAATCGACGTAGTCAAACCAGTGAGAGAGGAATGGAATTACATCCAGCAATCACACAACCAAATTTGTTGACCGTTTATTCCCTGAGCAATCACAAAGGAGAAAAACGCAGCCATCCCTGGATAACCAAGATGTTCGACATTTACTTAGAAAGGACTGGAAAGTCATCATCAGTCTTGGCGCAAAAAATTTAAATAAGCGTTACAAGGCACTTCGGAATAAGTATAAAGACACAATAAGTGTATCATAGATGAGACACAAAAATCAGTCATCACAAAATGAAGTCATATATTTGTTACATCATAAGAATACATCCGTGGATTCCCTGTTCAATTACTGAAGAATGCATTTCAAGTGGTAGAGTTGTAGTGGCATTGGACCCTAACCACATGACCTTTGAAGCCGAGGATATAAATTGTAAAAAAATTTATATTTGGCAGTTGACTCGAAGAGAAGATTAATGCGGGAATATTCATTCATTAAATCGGATGGCATAGCTCAGCCTCGCAGACGTGACCATTCTGTATAACATGTCCAAGTTAGATCTTAAAGATTGGGCAGTCAAACCATGACAAATCTACAATCTTAGGATTAGTTTTATCATCAGAGCAGTACTAATAACGAAGTAGACCATAATTCTGCAGAGTAATACCGGGAGAAAGTAGAAACCATAGTTGATTACTTCGGGGTGGTATTCACTCATGGTCCTCCACTCGACGAAGAACTGGGCACAGAACCAGTGACATAGGATGGGTTACTTACCAAGAACTTAACTACGACAATGTAATTTAGATATTAGGCTCTCTAAATACAGAAGAAGCAGCCGTACTGAAAGAGCTACATTCTAAAATCTTGAGGTAGGTCACGACATACAATTCTATCTGACTGACTACGATATTCAGGAAATCACTCAGCCAGAGTGTCACCCGTACTCTGAAGGGATGATGAAAATTCAGCAGATGTTGTCAGCAACGACTTTAGTGAGAAACATGATAGGGTTCCACACAGAAGACTCTAAGGACGGATCATTTACGATGGTTAGGGTCCAATGTCACTTCAACATTACATGGAAGTCACATCACCATCTACATTGACTAGCCCTATCGTACCAATCAGCAATATGGCGTTTAGCACTTATAAAAAGCACGTTTTTGCTGTGTAGGCAGATGTATATTCAATGGAAAAACAATAGGTTCTGTAGTGTAACCACGCCTGCATGGTCGTGTCATGACATGCTGATCAGTTGTTACTGCGTTCATCACTGTTGACATCCTCAAGGTGTTACATATAGAATGTAAGTCTTCTCGGTAATTGTACGCTCAGCTTCGAGAATCATGGAGTTAGTAACCAATACTACCACAAATTAGCCTATTGTTGCTCTTGAAATTTAGTCTGTTTTTACCGCACCTAGTGTTCCTTTGCTTAGAAAGTTGTCTCTATTCTCGTACTATACATGGGATTGCATAAGTTCAGTAATTTGTAAACTTTTTGGTATTAGTTACAGAGGTAATCTTAAAGGATTATATGTACCGAACACTGTGTAAGTAAAACTGGTTTCAAACAAATGAATCGTGATTGAGTGCACGAATTACGAATGGTAGCTGGAAATTCGGTGCGTGTATATGTAGAAAATAAGTCTAGATATGACACGATAGTAGGAAGTTCTGTGTTGATATTTGAGATTGTGAAATTATCCCGCTTAATGTGACAAAGATGTATTTACCTAAACAAACTCAGTGTTACGAGTGCTCAGGAGATTTTAATTGGTTGATTCTTTCTGAGCAGTTACTACGTGTCATTTATTGTACTGGGCAGTAGGGAAGTGACCGATAGGTGAAAGAAGTCATGGGAGTTGAAATATAATCCCACCATCATGCATGGTGCACACATGGGTTATTTGTGAACTTGACATTGTGATGGATGAAGGGCAAAGCCATCCCATAATTTTTCAGTCGTAATCGCACGCATCGTCAACATTGGTTCCGAAATTTGAGCAACTGATGAGGAAAATTTCTAGTGTTATGGATTTTCAATCACACGATCCTTAAATTCGAACCCATAATAATTGAGAAGATTTAGAGTCAGCATTTAACACCATAGAGAAGGTCAGAAATGGTGAATGCAGAAACACTATCGGCGTTAGAATGCTCGGATATCCGGGTGTAGTCACGTTATGTAACCTCTCGTTCCTCGAGTCAAATATATTATTCTCTTCGTAGCCCAAATCTGCATTCAGAAGTGCTAGACATTAAATTACTGACTGTCACATAAAACGAGTCAGTATAGATAATTATATGACTTTTTGAAAGAATTATCGGTCGGCTGCCTATGTGCCTCATTAACAAGCTTCAGTGGTATTGGAGGGTTGCTTGCAACGAAGGAATAAATAATTGGTTCGTCATACTTATCACTTACAGTCTTAAAATGACTCTACTTTATAGCCAATGTAGGTGAATATGTGCTCGACTTATCATAATTCGTGACACATTACGTCTGAAAATTAGCTGGTTATTATAGTGTTGTACAACTTCGATAATATTTAGAAGGTATGGTTCAGTACCTTCGTCTTTCATTTAATTGATCTTTATCCATGTTCACTGAAAGTGCGAGGTCTCTAAACCACTGACTTCTAGTCTGGGATTGGTTCATGGTCGTCATTTAAGTTCAGGAATATCGTCGTATTCTTATATAACAAAGAATTGTCAAAGGTTATGGGTACCAGATAAACAGTCTAGGGGAACCAAACACTACTGGAACTAAATCACTGCCACTACTCTTTTAAATTACTGTCCGACCACACGGGGCCAAGAAGCAACTAAAAGAAGTCAGTTGGCCTTCACCTGAGTTCGAAAGACATTTAGAAATGAGACTCAACACTTATTTTCTTTCAGAATATACTGGGGGGAAGTTATTCTATGCTTCTAATATTCGGTCAGTTCTCCCATTTTTCAGTAATGTTTTCGCACTTCAAAACAGAGCAGGTATATACTTCTCGATGACCAAGAAACCACTACATCTGTTTGCAGATATATCTCAAGGGACGCGAAGTTAATTATTCTTGCCATAACAAGTTTTAATTTCTATTCCAGTTGTTGTGAGTACCAGATGAACCGCATCCCAGGCTACTGAAAGAACTAGCTAACTTCGTTGCGAACCCCTTAAGCATGTGTTTTAATCTTTCGATTGCCAAAAGACTGGAAGAATGTTGCTGTAATTCCCGTCCTTAAAACAGATATGAAACATAAGTATGAGAATTACCGACCCGTTGGCCTAATTAACGTGGTTGTTAAATTTTAAGAAATGATTATTCGCAAGGAGCTTTTTAAGTGTCTCGAAGAAAACCCGATCGTTTCGAAAAGCATTATGGTTTGAGAATAGTTTATTTCTGTCTGACTAACTTATTAGTGACTCGCGAAAGCTGGCGTGCTTCTAAAGATCTAAAGCTACTCATATACACAGCTTTCATCGACTTCAGGAAAGCTTTTGGCAAAGTTACTCGTAACCAGCTGTTGGTTAAGTTAAGCATTGTCGGGGTTGCAGGCAATCTATTATTGTAGATAAAAGACTTACTATTTGGGCTTTCACAAAGAGTACGAATGACCTCCAAGTTGTCTAGCCGGGAAACTGTGCCTAGCGAGTGCTTCATGGTACAGTTTTAGGGTCAGTGTCATTACCCTTGTTTGTAAATAACCTTCCTCGTCTCCTATCACCATCGGTCTTGCTATATGCTGACGATGTTAAGATATGAGGAGCGATAAGAAGCAAAGGTGACAGCTAAGAACTTCAAAGTGACCTGGAGAAATTATCTGAATGATATCAAACTTGGCAGTTGCCTATAAATACAACTAGATGTTTTGTTATACATATTGGTCATCGAAGTACAGATATGTACATAATAAATAACACTGAGCTACTTAATGATAACTAGCATTTGACATGCCATCACTCCTTTTGCCTTCCGAAATATAGAGCTTACGAGGACAGTTCGAAAAGATTCACAAGCCCATAACAAATTACTTGTCAGCTGATTATCGACCCTCCGGCCGAACCATGAACGGATGGAATTCATTACCTCAACACGTGATTGAAGCTTCATATGCCAACTCTTTCGAAGCGAAGTTAGATAAACCGAGGGAACATTATTGCCAGGACCAACACAGGCCATCTAGCCTCCTGTCCTTTTTAAACTGAAACTGAAACTTTAGGGCTTGTAGTACTCTTAGCTCTATGAGATTTATCTGAAAGTACTGTTTGAAATCGAGGAGTTTCAATTAGCTGACATTACAATAACAACGTTTCATTACTTGTGTGTGAAGGGTTATTTAATAATTTCATTTTACATTGAACCACCTGGTTGTGTTTGAGTAGGTCAAGTAGCAGGATTTGTTGCGACTTTCGACTAAGAAGCTTGTTGTCGATAGGTGGTCGGTTGCGTTGTATGTTTTGTGTTCACTAATTAATATATATAGAGAAATACTTTTTTACATGTCTATTTTAGTTTTTTAGATTTTTTTAGTCTAGAACAAATAGTTCCCTAGTTCTGCCTAGGAAAGTGAGATGCTTAATTCTCATATGACTCGTTCACCGTTTGTGCAAAAATTATTCTATCAATCTCAACACGACAGAGGTATTAGTGAATACAGTTTAAAACAATTAGTAATAACATACTTGCCTTTCAAGCCTGTGCGCTTTTCTTATGCGTGTATATACACACATGATTGTCGACAAATATCCCCCAAATACGCGACGTAAGGGGAAAAATTCGACCATTCCCCTAAATAACTGACGTACAAGCGAAAAAGCGGCGTTCCACCTTTATTTACGCTTTCGTTCCCTTTATTTCCGTTTTTTCGCCTTTATTGGTTGCTTGGGATGTGTATTTTATTTGTGATATATTACTAGATTAAAAAGCTCAGCGAGTTGCTGACTTGCACCTGATACCCGTCGTGGTGCTGCATATGACGCCGAACAGAGTTCTACAATAAGCTCTGTTCTTGGTTTAACCTTCCAGTTTTTGACAAGTGGCAATCATTCCTATGAATCTCGTCTCCGATTCCTCGACGCAATATGTTCCTTAGTCTTCCATTTTTCCTTTCATTCAGGATTACAAGTTAGAACTTTATTCATGATCCAGTTTGGTGATTTCCGCAATCTATATAGTATCTTCCCTAGCGTCTTTTTCCTAGTTTCCTGCTCAGATGGCAGTCGGTTTTTTCATACCCATAGTATGTTGTTGCTGATAGTGTCCAACCAACAAACTTCTAGTTTCTTGCGTAGACAGTTGTTTTCAAATACTTGTTGCTTTTGATGATGGTTGTGGTAGTCCTCCAAGTTTTAGCTTCATATAGTAGCATTTTTCTAAAGTTCGTATTGAAGATTATGTCATTGGTTAACAGGGTGAGACTATAATTTATGGACGACATTTTAGCGACGCTAGGCTGACCTTGAGTGTCCACCTCATAACGAGGATCAAGTAAGAATTACAAACCTGTATGAGGAATTAGAATTATGATTTACATTTGATTAATAAGGTTATAAATTAGATTTAGGGTTTTCATCACGAACTGACACCATCTCATCGACTGAGATGGTTGGGCCACTTGTTACGTATGCCTGAACACCGATTACCACGACGTGCAATGCTAACCGGTGTTCGGGATGGTTGGTAAAAAGTTAGGGGCGGTCAAACCAAAACGTGGCATCAGTGCTTGAAGTCACTAACTTCTAGTCTGAGCCATGTTGGTAGATGCAGACTACTTGGTTGGGGTCCGTATGAGTGTCGTAACCAGTGGTTGGTGACATGGCTCAGAATCGATCACAACGGCGTCGGTGTATACACTCTCTATCTTACCTTAAACTTAGAGATTAAAATTGCTTTATATCTTTCTTTCTACGAACTAATTCTTTCTTCCTGTACTATATCCTTATTGCAATCTTTCTTTTATATATTACCACCTCTGGATTAACTACTTTTGTGAATCCGCTGTCCATTCTTGTTGTGTTAATGAGGTATGGCAACTTGAACCGATGCATAAATGTGCCTGGTCCTACGTTGTAGCTGACTGACTGACATCAGCTATAATGCCAAAATTTTATTTATCCAAAATGGATAAGTGAATTTCGCGCTAAAATCCGAGACCCGTTACCTCATATGTGGTTGGCAGCTTCGAGTCCCATATATTCAACTGTAAGAATGCTGTCTTTGCTTTTCTAATCCTTGTCTTTACGTCTCTATCAGACCCTCCACGTTCATCGATTATGCTCCACAGGTACGTGAATGTTTCCACCTCTCCCAGCGCTTCTCCACCAAGTGTTATTGAGTTGGTGCTCTCTTTGTTGTATTTGAGGATCATGGTTTTTCCCTTGTGTATGTTGGGGCTTACTGATGCAGTCTTCTGCTTCATTGACTGTCCTTACCTGCATTTGTTCATTTATTTTGTTATTTTAACACATAGATATTGGTACAAGGAGGCACCAAATACATATACGCCACACAAATCTCATTCGACATGTGTAAGGGCTGTGATACTGCCCGGGTGCCCAGACCGAAACAGATGGTTTTCTTAGGGGGCCATACCCCGAGCCTTTGACCTAAAGGTCTGACCCACAAGGCAGTGGAGCACCGTAAGGAGATGCAGTCACATGGTAGCCGGTGGTCTGTGATTGGTTAATACGCCATTTGTTCCTTCAGGACACTGGAGCCCATGTGCACTATTGGTTTGGGGTCCGGTTAGAGCGCTGGATATTCGCTTTTCGTCCTCTCATTTCCGTAAACAACACCCCCGCCACGATAAGGCAATGAGTAGTACTTCCCTGGCAGAGGCTATATACGCGTGGCCGTGTGAGAGCATTTCGAGAGGGCGAGCGGACTCCCCACTCTCGACCGTACCAGCGCATTTGGAGGCATTTGTTCGTGTGTATGTGATAGGATGGCCAGGTCTTCTGCAGAGGCCAGATCATCTAGTTACATCCATGATGTCCATTTTATTCCATGCTTCCCATCAGATGTGGACGTCTTCATAATTCAGTCAACCATCAGAGGATAAAGAAGGGGAAAGAGTAAGCAGCCTTCTCTAACTCCCGTCCTCACTTGGAATACATCTGTCAACTGTTTTTCATGCACTACTTTGTAGTGTAGTCCGTCGTATGAATTCCGTATGATTTTGAAGATTTTCTCAGGTACACCATAGTGTCGAAGGAGTTTCCATAGTGTCCTATCCACACTCAAATGTTTTCTCATAATCAAGGAAGTTGATGTGTGTGATGAATTCCATTCGACAGATTGTTTGACAATGATCTGTAGTGTCGCGACTAGGTCTATGCACGACCGATCCTTACGGAATCCGAGCTGTTGATCTCAAAGTTGGGCGTCTACTTATTCTTTCATCCGGCTCGCAACGCTGCTGAAAGCCTTTCCTGGTACTGACAGTAGTGTGACGCCTTTGTAGTTCTCGCATTTGCTCAGATCTCCTTCCCTTGGTGTCTTGACGATGTGTCCTTTCCAGTCCATCGGTACTTGTTCTTCCTTCCAAATTTCCTGAATAGAGCGTGAAGCATGTTTGCAGTTACTTCTATGTCTGACTTTTGTGCTTCACCTGATATACTGTCAAAACCCACTGCCTCCCCATTCTTGATTGGTCTGATGGCCATCCTCATTCCTGCGATCGTTGGTGGGGTGACATACGTAGGATGGTCTGTATGTGCTTCTTCGATGTTCAGTGGAGCTGGCTTATTATAGAGTTCCTCAAAGTATTCTGTGCATCTGTTCCTCTGCTTTTGAATCTCAGCGATTGGCTGACTTTCTTTGTCCTCGACCAATCTTTGTTTCACTATATTTCCTTGTCAGGTTCATCGTTGTGTCATATAGTTGTTTCATATTTCCATTTCTTGCAGCTTTATCCGCTATCTTTGCTAGGTCTCCCACATATTCCTGGTTGTCGGCTCTGATGCTCTTCACTTGCTTGTTTGTTTCTGTGTGTTCAACTTGTGCCTTTACTTTCTCTGCTCGTGATCGGCTGTTGTTAATTGCTGTCTTCTTGTTCTTCCTTTCTTGAATCTTGTCCTGGTTTTCTATAGAGGTCTATTCCTTATGATGGTGCTTCTCGCGACCCAACACCTGGCAATTTGAAATTAACGCTTTGATCTATTTCGAGTTGTTTTTCACAGTAGTTTCTTCTTTGAGTAGATCTTGTAAGACTTGGAACTTGTTGTTGAGAGTTGTTGTGACTTGGTTGTTTCTCAGTATTTTGAATGAAGGCTGTATTTCTGTTTCATAGCTGTTTAACTGGACCTTCCAGTCTACCACATTGTCCAGACATTCCATGTACCTATGTTAATTGCTGCTTTGGCTGTCAGAAGGGGTATCGGCATCATGATTTCGGAGAAATCTTGACTTCCATCATTGTTTCTAACACACTTTTGAACTGTTGTCACAATTAATGTTGTAGAATGTTCTTTCACATTAGGTATATATTTACAATATTCAGTTAGCAATTTAAACCCATTATGTAATTATGATTTTTAAATATCACAGGTTGTAAGCAGCTGACGAAAACCTACGAAATAAAATGAATTCATGCTATTCTGCTAGAATCTTTGTTCTTGCTCTTTTCTAAATACAAAGTCGTAAATTTTTGAAAACATATGTAGTTACGGGCACCTAACTTTATTCCATTTAGCATACGTGATCATTCGTTAACTATTGGTAGACTACTTGGTTGGAGTCCGCGAATAGACGCTATCAGATGTTAAAGGCTTTGAATTATTGACTTTTACATTTGTTTACAGATAAGAGCTGTTCTGTAACATTCATTCTAGATTAGTTTATTATGTAAGCTTCAGATTAGTGAAATTTTTGTCACCAGCTATTTCGTACCCGCTCTCAGTTTTGGCTTCCCATTTTCCCCTCTAGAATTTCCTTTTTATGGCCGTATAATTCCCACGTAGTCATACTTCCGTCGGCTTAAACACATGTTTCAGCGTTTCAGTTACATTTGAGTCTGGGACGTAAATAGTTTCATTTTCTACTACCTAAGTTATGTGAAATCAGGTTTTATACAATCTCCTGGTTCAATGAACTTCAGGATGCAGGAGCAGTAATCTAGTGGTTAGGCCATTTCACCTTCACTCATTAAGTCCCTGGTTCAGACCCCACTCCACCGACCTTATTTTAGCTAATCGAGTAGTATCATTCGCCCTCACACAGTAGCTCGTATTCAAGTACCTGGTGATTTAGCTAATTTAAATTAAATTTTCAGGGTGAATACATTTACCGTCATATGTTCATAATCCATGGGTGTAAATAGACTTAATGTGGGGAAAATGTCAGAGTAATCAGTCTCACAAGCGTTAGCAAACAATAAGTCGCTGTTGATCAAAGTTATTCGAATTGAATACACTGTACTTTAGTAATTATCGAAGTTCCTCTATAACTGAAACCGTCGTTGGTTTTCATGGTTTTAATCGAGAATCTTAACGCAACCACCAATCTATGGGTTAGTTGCTAAGGTAATTAGGTTAATTACGTCGGCAAATTAGTTTGATACCTTTTTAAAGTGCACTGACATTTTTAAAATGTGTTTTCCCTTTCTCCCTCAGTTATACTCTTAAAAGCTAAGTACTAAATGGCCTATGAAACGATATATTCGAATCGAGATAGTGGACGGGACTATCGTAACGGTTCTCGCCATGCTGAACATGCGTAAGTGCAGTCATTCATAGTTCGCATTTATTATGAGTCATACTGTATGTTATCACGTCCAAATAATTCAAACTACATTGTTTGATAACGTATGTTGATTTGCAGCTTTCATTGGTTCGGATACAGTCTTTAACCAGTATCCTGAATTTGTATACCACACTAGTAAAAGTTTGTATATCCAGTGTATTTCAATCGTAATCGATGTAGCTCGTAGTATTACATAGAAACTTAAATATAATTGTTAAATTATTGCTACTAAAATTATTAATAATGTCAGGCGCTGGATAAGAAATTAACGAAATTTGTAGTCTATAGACAGTGCATTTGTTTGGCTATCATTGTTGCTCTTTACCTAAGTCTATTAAGCTTTGATCAAAGATTTCGTTTTTTTCTCTGGTGTATCGGTTATAGATCCAATTGAAATTTCGCCATAACAACTTAAATTTTTATGTTAGATCCAACTCGGTCTTACTTTTGTCTCACTTGACACTGTAACAATTATTTTGAATGAAACTCAGATTGAGCAAACGAAAAAACCTAGTTCTACAGTCTAGTTTACGTTGTGTTATAGATCTCGTTTTTAACAACTAATATTTTAACAGATGTCTGGATGACTGGGAAGTACCATCGGAACTCAGATAATGGATATGATTCATAGTCTGGTACATGTTCTTGTTTGCAGTTGATGAGTTAAATATTTTTGTACTTATTGTTTTGTTGATCTCATATGGATATATATTTAGGTGATAATTATAAAACGTAATTTTCATATGTAAATTCGTAAGCTATAATCTACATACTTAACTGAGATCTTTAATAACTCGAATAAATATCGCCCATAAGTTATGTTCACTATATGAATTATCGTTATCCGTCCGTACATTTCACCAAATATGCCTTTTCGAACATAGATTGTTTGGGAAATGTAGATAATTCTAAATGAATTATTTAATCTCATCGTTGGTTAGACTGCTTTAGCTACTTAACGTGGAATAGGGTCTATGATGTATTATTTTTTCTTCGTTTTAGATATGAAAATTCCGTTTCAAGAAAACGTTATCGGGATGTTCCATTCCAGTCACGAATGCCTTTCGAAAATGATTTAAAAGATAGGGAATATGACTACTACAATCCAAACAAGGAATATGTTTCCCCCAGTAAAGAACTTCGACGTAGTAAACATGATGTAGAGAAGTTTCGCCAAGACCCGCGGTACAGTCGTGATTCAAACACTAGTCCTGTTCCGAAAAAACGTAGTAAAATGGACAGTCGAGTCGAATCATCTCCTCCCAAACCATCTCGTGTACTTGGTGCTTTTGGATTGTCTATGCGTACCGAGGAACGGCATTTGTATGACATAATGAAAAAGTACGGCGAAATAGAGGAGATAAAACTAGTTCAAGATAATTTATCTGGTAAGTCAAAGTAGATTATTCTGTATAGTTAGCTTATACAATGTTTACAAGATGTTCCAACCATATAGTCAGATTAAAGTATGGTGCATACTATTTTATGCCCAGTTGTATCACAATATATGTGTTAAATGAATAAAAACAAAATAGGTGTGATAAGTGACATTTCATATCCAAATTTCGGTGTTTGTTAACTAGTTTTTGGATAGTTGGTCTTGTTTGCCCTTTTTTAAAGTATTTGAGTAAAATTAGCTGCCAAACACTAATAACCCATCCTGCGTAAACAGTTGTGAAAATGTTTCTCAGTTGTTTTTTGGACAAAAGTATTTATGTACATATTGTTTATCATCTTCACAATAGTTTCCACTATTGTCAAGGATAAGAATCTCGTTCTTATGCCATTTCATGTTTCTTCATACTCTTAATTGTCTATCAACAGGGCGTTCACGTGGTTTCGCGTTTATATATTTTCGGTCTATTGAATGTGCTCGTTCAGCGCGCGCTGCATGCGCTCGAGGTTTGGAACTACATGATCGTATTGTTCGCATTGATTACAGCTACACTGAGCGACCACACAATCCTACACCTGGAATATATATGGGCAAAGAAAAACGGTAAATTTTCATAGTACAATAAGGATGGCTTAAATATTATTCATGCATATATTGTAATCTGTGGTTTGCGTATTCTTTGTGTTGTCGTACATTTGCACCCCGTTTCAATTATGTGCTTCTCTAGCTTTCTTGTTCACTGATATTGATAATAACTAAAAACCGGAATTTGGTTTCAGCTTTGGATATGAAAATAACTTCAGCTAATCTACAGTTGTCCATCTGTTCGTAAATGAAATACCTATCTTTTTATATATAAAGAGTGTTTATGTTTGTTTCTTCATACATTTTGAAGATACATAAGGAGTACTGTACTCATACTGATGGTTTATTAAAAAATACTCAACATCAGACAGAGAACCTGAAAATATCTAGATGAAGATTACTGAATAAAAGATGCAAAAACTATTTCTAACGGATTCATCTTGTTCTTGAACATCGTCTCATCATATCCAGTTTGTTGTTACTGTGTATCTAATGTCCTTTACAAATTTCAGAACAGTGTTATCAAGAAACTACATGTAGAGGAAAAAGTTAAAATTCCAACACAGTTCATCGACTCAACACTCCACAATAACCTTACAAAAAGGGAAAATAAATTCAAAAACATAAGAATCATTCGAATAGGACACAAGAAATGTCATCTCTCTGTGTGTTAAGAAGATTTACTCATAAGAAAACAATGTAATGACACCCCATTGATACTAAGACCGAGAAATACTGAATGCAATTCTTGTCAATAATTTTTGTTGACGAAATATTTTTTTCATTGATTGATTTCCAATATCTCAACAAATTCCCACGGAAGACTCAAATTTCCATATTTAAATTTATGATCAGCAACCATTGACTTCATGTCTTGGTGGTTATAATGAATACATTTTTCCTAATGACCTAATCACACTAGTCAAAATCTTATGTACAGATTACTTAACCAACATTCATGTTGACTAGTTTAAATTTATTTCAAAACATTTAAATTAAAATAGCAAGGTTTATGAAACTTTTCGTGTATTTGTGTATGTATACAAGACAATAGTGCGACAACCTAAGTCAGCCAGCCATAATCACTGTTAAACTTGTCAGACTTTTGAATCTATATAGGTTTCCATAACATGGCTTTTAAATGAGTGGGATGGATAAGGCATGGTGTCATATTAAACTCAATAATATGTATGCTAATCTACTCTATTTTATTGTAAATTTCCATTTTGTTAACCTCCATCTGCGTAAAACGTTTCAGATGAGAGAGAAAACTTACGCATTGTATCTAAGGCATCTTACTTTTTATTTATGAATTAATTTCATAATGAATCTAGATGAATTCCAACCAGATATGAATGTTAAATGAGAATGCAAGAACTCAAGAACTCTTAAAACACCACAATTGATTTTTACATAATTTTTATGAAATACTGATGAGTCCAAACCAATAAAATATTTATAAGTTTACTCATTATATTTTAACAATTTTTGCAAGATTGTTTACAAATCAAAGAATACAAAATAATTTTTCGCTTTTAGAATGATTACTGTGAGAATGGTTAACAAGCTGAATACATAAAATATAAAACGTCTAAATCATCTCATTTGGTAAACATCAACTCTATGTAGAAGTTGATATTCTTGTATACTATGGAATAGCTGTGTCTGTCAGTCATAATTAATGTAGAGTCGGGCAAAAATGTAGATTGAAGCAGAAATTAACAAGCTAAATGGCAAAAGAACCCATAATCACTTAGTAGCAATGGTAATGCGAAAAACTAAATGTCGAGAATACGATATAAAATGACAAAATGGAAAGGTATATATGAAGCAACACTGGGACTCAATAGTGACAAAAAACAAAATGAACGCATCTCAGTCACGTCGCACAAAGTCCTCAATAATCAGTAGTCAAAGTAAAGAGATACTAAACTTCTGCATACAACTCAATGCTACGTAAAACTATCTATCTTACAACTAGTCTTCAAATTTTCGGTCGGTGTCGTGGCACGAAGTCAAGCATGTGACTAACAATATCACATCAAGCATCCCTTCTGATATTTTCAATACTTAGTTAACATCTCGTTCCTGCATGTTCCATGTACTTAGTATACAACCTATGATACAGTTACCGAATAATGGATTGTGTTTCGTTCTCAATAAGTGTACATATGGCAGTTTCCTACTTCAACATTCACCAAAAGGAAAGACGCTATACCTCATGTGGAGTTTTGACATGTTCTGATTGGACGTAAAAAGCCAGTTCTTCAAACAAATTTTAATATCCAGAGGATAGCAAATCTTACCTCAACAATTATTTTAAGTGTAAAGGCCAACTTTCTAATTCATAACATACGACTGAGGAAAATGCAAGATCAAATCAAGAGGATCTTACAGATGCCAGTTTGATGACAACATATACAACTCAAAATTTCAGAATCCAATAGTTACTCAACATAAACAAAATGAAACTGGATCCTATATGCAACATTTTCAACATGTTTTCAGTTCTATCTTCCAAAACTTAAACAAGACAAGACACTGAATTTCTGCTGTACATTAGCGTTAACATTATGTTTCATGGTTTTTCGCGCTGATAATGTTTTTATATCTCAGCGAACGTGGATTTTCATTCATAACTAAGACCATTTCATCTCATCGTTATTGTAGTTATCAAGCAGTTGAAAAAACTTTCTGCAGTTTTACTAAATATGCTTTGGATTTGGAAAATAATTATTAGAAGCTGTTGTCACTGAATCATTTTTTCATTGCCTACTTATCGTTCGCGAATTCAAGAGTGTGACTTGGAAGTGTTCTATAATTGACAGCAGCGATAAGAAAGCAATTCTTTCATCTTGCGATATTATTACATCAGTTTCGTAACTACAGATCTTAAGCATTGTTCTTGTGCGGAATTTCGAATCATCTAGCATAAGAAGTACTCTTAAAGAAACCTGATTTTTTTCAAAGCTTCCTACCTGATAGGGAATTCAACATGAAAATAACTTTCATCACGCTAAAAAATTTCAGGTAGATCGGTCCAATGAACACATTGCCATTATTTAGTTAATATTAGGCTGATATCATTGTTCGTCTAGTATTTGCGTTTATGTTCCTATACTAAGTTTCCAGTGTGCACCAGACAACTATTATCAGCTTGAATTTAACGGGAATCAAACTCCTCATTCAGTGGTTAGTAACATACTGTCTAGATTATTGATCCATGGTTTCATTAAGGTAGTTAGAATGTATTAAAAATTTACATCACGCACTTGAACCCATAAAACTTATGAGCTATAGATAAACATTTTTTAGGTCCAGTTACTGAAATCCAGTAGTGTCAGTTTTCTCAGTCTTCTCGTTTTCTATTACATACTTCTTATACAAAAGTGACATCTGTGCATAACACGGTACAGTTTAGTCATATTTACTATCGAGTTTGTATGATTGGTTTTAGAAACTAAATTTTTAAGACCATGTGTATTCGTTTTTCCTAATCTCTGAATTGCCTGTCTCAGTCATTTTAAACATTACAAGTCTAGAATTTTTCTATATTTGGGACATATCGACGCAAGTATTCTGAAATTATTCTTTTAGACTAAATCATGGTGAATCTGGACGCCGGTCGAACTTTGCAGAGCACCAGAGATCCGCGTACGGGGATAGAAATTCCAGACCACGTCCTTCTCAAAGAATATCTCGACGTACAACAGGTGAGCGACCCGATCGTTACCATCAGTCCCCAGAGGAAAACAGCCGACCTCGTAATTCGTTAGCATACAATTCAAATAGCCGTAGTCGCATAGTGAGAACAAACAATGGTGTCCAACAAAGTCGTTCTCGTCAACCACGTTCTGATGTGATGCGTAATGCATATAACATGCGACGCCAACCTAAAAATGAGTATGCGTCAATGAACTACAGCTCTACAACACACTGATAACAAAATGCATTTCAGTTTATACCACTGTATCTTTAAAAAAAATAGACTTATTGTATTTACCTGAAAACTGGCTGAATATCACTACTGCTTTCCATTATGTTGTTGGTTTTCAGTTAATTTAATTGTGTAATTCAATTTCATTGGGACAGTAAACGTGTACATCGTCTTTCATTCTCTAAGAACTGTTTTGCGCGTTAGCTACAGAGCTTACTACGTTTATGAAGAACAAGAGTAGTTCAATACCAAGTATCTAATCAAATGAAGTTGAGCTTTGTCCTCTTTTCTCACTACTTTTAATGAGTAGTATATTGGAAACACGAGTAAAATGGTATTGTTAGAATAAATTGATTAATCTCATGAAATTTCCTAGATGTACATTGGAGAGTGGGATTTGGATTTTTACGTGTTACTGAGAAAGCAAATAACACTGGATTCATGGATATATCGATATAATAAAATTGCATGAACGATGAATAAAGATGGTGTGGAATATTCGGAAAAATTCCAGTTTTTCCGCCTACAGGTTCTTCACTAACATAGTGTGCTCTTAGAATTTGTCCTCTGTTTAAGATAATCATCGATCCCACTCCAAATATTACCGTGTAACTATTCTTACGGCTGCTTTTCATTTGCAGTACTGTATACCGGTTTTTTGCATAACTGCGTCTTCACGTTTATTTGTTTCCCAGTGTTTTCTGGATTGTATTGTGCTTCTCAAGTATAGTTATCCATGAATGTTGCCTAACATCTATCTAAGCCGAACTTAAATAAAATTAATTTTTTAGAAATCTTAATCCCTTATGTGCTTTCAACGGCACTTTTCCATCAGATGTGTTACCTTACACATGCTACAGTCGTTCTTAAATTACTCACATCAATAAAATATTAGGACTGTTAATTTAGTACTCTTCTTCAAGACAAACGGACATTCAACAAGAATAATCTATCACAAAAAACATAATAATCAAAATTGTTACTAAACTCCAAGAAATTGAAATTGAATAAATCATTAATTTGGAATACTATCTGCATGTTTTTCGGGATTTATATTGATGGATTTATGTATGCGTGTGTCAGCTTTCATGGATTATTATCACTATACCAAATTGTTTTCATCCTTAAGAATCGAGTTTTTCATCGAAATATTACCAAAGTTCTACCAGTAGTATAAGCCTCATAGCGTGGAAACTAGTATATTTCAACCTTCGATTATTGGAGTTTCTTGGTACACATTCCTGTCAATTGTCTTTAAAAGCACTCATAACTGGTTTTCGTTGTTAAATATTCTCTAAAAATGATTCAACTAAAGAAGTTGGTAACGGATTCTGCATTAAAATAAAGGTTTTTTAAAGAATGGGGCTTGTTTTAATCGCAGCAATATTGTACCTCAGATCAATCCATCGAACTGCAATCACAACGACAATTACCCAAATCATTGCTTTCCACAACAATAATACTACTACTACTAAAATTAAAGGATTATGCACATAGTAAAATGGTGAATTGCAGTAGCACATTTTTGAATTCTCGGGACTTTTGCTAGAGTAAAACTGCCGGCGAAAGTCATATTTATTGCTTGTGTTGAATATTGAGATTAGTTTGGAATTTGTGCAAATCTTTAAGTTGGTTAGCATTCTCTTTGTAAATATCCTCTGAATATTTGTTGACGATTCTCCGTCATTATTTTATTGTAAATATCAGTTTAAAAATTTCATAGACATCAACCGTGATAAAAAGCATTTAATTAGTTCAGATGCGTATATTTTGAAACGGGCAACTCCAACTGAGTCCTTTCTTATTTTGGTGTTACTTTTGTTTATGTCTGATTATTCGGTATCTTAGCAAACCTTTGGAGTGATGTGAACGCTTTCTACTTCTTACCATTTAGCAAAAATTATTTCTGCAACAACTCTTGTATTTATTAATAACGACTTAAAATCACTATAACTTTATTGTCAGCCCCCCTCCAACAGTCACGTTTATTGCATTTGATGTAACAAACTACTGGATTCCTACAGTCTATGGACAGTTTTCGAATGTATATCACTTTTTAATGCATCGTGTGCAGCTTTCCGGTGTTAACATTTTCAAGACTTGTCCGAAAATAAATCATATTTAACTACTTTTTTGTAACCACATTTTGTCTAGCCTTCAAGTTGTGAAAACATATCTTATTGACTTAGTATCAAAAGCGTGATTATCTTACAAAGTGAGGATTTATAGAACCGAGATTCGGCGCAGCTGATTGCAAATGTGTAAACAAAACCCAGAAATTGGTTTCGTTCAATTTACTTGCTGGCCAACTACCTACATGTTAACTTCATTTTAATAATGCTTGTGGGTGTTTTTAAACTTGATTGCTTTAAGGGTTGGTGCGAAGTTATGTCGGTGTGTTGTCAATTTAATCGATCTGCTATAATCGAATTTCAAGCTGGAGTACACCAGAGATTGTAGAGAACAATTTTTCCCTTGTCAAAAATTCTCAAAATTCCAATATTTATTTAGAAGAATCAATGGGCAAAAACGTGAAGGATTCAGTCAGTTAATTCTGTGAGAAGCAAAATAAAGCTGAAAGGTTGTTAAGTCTAATATCCTGGAGTTGTATTTTATTTAAATGTAAGTCAGCCAATTTTACTTCAGTCCCGACAGAATGTAAACGAGTTTACAGGAATTTGCCGATGTTTGCTTGCCATAAACATAATGTCATGCGTGTATGCGATTGATGAATCTTGCTTCGTAAATGTAAATGATTTGATCTCAAGAGTCATGTAAGAAAAAAATGTTCTATTATGAAACATAAACTGAAATGTAATATGTTTGGTCGACTTAATGTTGATTAATGGTAGCTTACTTCCTGTTAAATGATTAATCTTAAGTGGGAAGCCTTGGAGTCTTCAAAGTCCGTACGGTATTGATAGATTTAATTGTTTGTTTACATGGATTGTTATAGTCATTAAGTGTCACTAGACAAGGATAAATTAAATAGTGCTGAATCGTATTGATAACCCCTTCATGTTATTGGTGTAAATGTTTATTTTGAACAACCGGGTAACATGTATCCAGAAGAATAGCTGCTGTAATCAACTTCGGTTTAATGAAAACCAAGAGGAAAAGTTGTTACTCTGACATCTACTAAATAACCGTTTTATATCAATCCATCATGCTAAATAACTTTTAATTAACCAGATATCTTGCAACTGCTTAATCGAATGAATACTACACTTGTTTAATTTGAATTGTACTTATTTAGTTACCGTCATCAGCCTGCATGACCGGTCACTATACGTAGTACTATGAATAATTCGTTTAGTTAACGTCTGCCACTAAATTTGTTACTTATTCGCCATTTAAATGTTGAGTCTAATTCTGTTGATAAAGTTATTGGGGTAATATATAAATGATTCTAAAAGGAATTTTGATAATCATTAACAATTTACCCTTAACTAACCCCATTAATTATGTCGACAGTATGTTCTAGTGAAGTTCCTATATTTGAAATTCGTTGTACTATCACTGTCAGCGTTTGGAATATGAAGAAATTGGAATTTTGAACAACTGAGTTGATCACAAACTAAATATGTTAATCATTGTTTATTTATTCTTAGTTTTATGAAAAATTTCCTTGTTAGTAAACGCTTTCAAAAAAAAGTTTGTTTCTCATATTTCCACTTATTTTTATAATCCATTTAGTGTATCTGCTAAAACCTTGTTTTTATCTTAACAATATTATGAATGATCAACTGCGAAATATTATTTCTCCTTGTTATTTTTTTGAAAATACATAATTTTTTCAGAGGATTCGTTTGTTTTGAAATTCCAGTTGATGTTTCACTTGGAGTCTGGTTATCGCCTAACTCGATTATATAAGTCTAAAATTCGATTTAGACACATCGATTGTGCAAACTAGAAGAAAGAATTATTGCCAGTACTTTGATTAGTACATGTCCTCTGTATGAAACACATTTAAGATCCAATTTAACCTACAATTTTACTTATATTCGCTCACATATGTTTCAATGTCGGACATCATTTCTTGAAATACTACTTATATCAATTAGGGCTTCAGTCAAATCAAATTGTCCACTAACAAATTTATTGACTAATTGATCTCAAATCTCTACTTTTGCAAGTCAGATTCCGAAATGTAAGTAAACGTTTATTGTATTACAGGTGATTGGTTTAGATTCCATGTTAATGGGATTTAAACTGGACGAATAATGCGATTTGGTTGTCTCAACTTAGTTGCCGTAATTTTATTGTTTCACTATAATCAAATAATAATTCATTGATGAAACCTGCTAAAAAGGAGTGTATGACAAAGCAAGTTTGTTATACGTACCCGCCTACGAGATATAGTTCTATTTGAATTTTCCTGTTGATATTTTCGACTGAAATGTGATCAGTCTTGGTTAGTATATGGGCATCCTGTACGGATTGTCTCGACACAGCCATTATGTCACAAGTTGATATTGAACAGGTGGGATTTGGGTGGCAGTGAAATGCAGGACTCGTGGTTTTTCCTACTTGGGACTCGTCATCTGGATATGCTATTAGATGCAGGTGCACCCGGCTGACGAGTCCTAAATAAGATGAAATTCGTGTCCTGGGTCCCACTGCTACACACATTTCATTTATTGTATGTTTACGAGGTAGTTTTGTTAGGTTATTCAAAGTCGAGCATCTTAAATAATGTATTAGGGACTTACTCAATGTTAGTGTTATACTGTAGGCTGAACTAACAGTACTTAGAATCTTCATAAAGTTGCAGATATATCATAGATTTACCCCGACAGGCATAAAAATAGGAAGTATGCATTTCACAAATCGAATGATCAAAGATCAAACATATTGCCATGAATTGTACTCTAGTAAGTAATTATCTGTTTAGCAATTTATAAATATTTTTCTACCTATACAGGATTTTATTTAAACTACATCTACATATCAAGAGTAATGGTGAAGGTGGTGTATGCATTGTTTTTAACGGTTTGTATACTGTTCGCAGTGTTTAATGTAAGTTATTGATTAAATTATTAAGTAACTTCGGTTATGCATGAAGTTCTTCCAGGCTCTAGTAATTGACAAGTGGTATCTTGAAGTGTTGCTCACTTGTCATTATCTGACAAGGTGTAATATTGTTGATACAACTTTCATGGATCAAAGTTTTGAAAGGAGTCCCAAGCTCCTTGGTGGTTGCGCTTAACCAACAGGTACTAATTTTGAATTTCACGTCGTTAATTCGTAACAAGATTTCCTACTAGAAGGTTTAACAATAACGGATATAGTAATGATGAAATAATCAAATTATGAGTTTATATAAAAATGAAGTTGGTGCATGTTTGATGATAAAGTAGACCAAGTAATATGGCATCAGGAGTGCAACAGACAAAGATCCATGAGTTTCATCAAATAAATAACAAACGTGTTTATGACGTGTCAAGTAAATGTGATGAATTCTCTTCAGTCCCGTGATAAATAGCGGTATAATGAACTTTGGTAATTTTCATGAATAGACTAATATCTCGTCGATTTAAATATTCGTGAATATCATGTAAAAGGTGAAGAAACTAGTTGATGCTAATGATCTTCATCAATATGCAAACGATTTTGCGGGATATTTGCCATCCAAGTTTATGATTTTCCATCAAACTAACCGGTATTACAGTGCGCGTTCAACTTTCAAGGTGTTTTGATTTGTTGGGTTTATAATTCATTTTAACCAGTGTATACTTTTCTTAGTGTAATTCTTATCAAAGTACGATTCAATTTTTTGAATTAGCCACTCTAGTCATTCATTTCTTAAAGCACAGAAAATCCGTCTAAATAACAATTCTATTGCCAAGCACGTTTAACTTTACTGTTTTTCTAACGCGTTACCAGAGTACAACCTGGTATTCAATCATTTCGTAAAAATGGTGCTTTTATTTTGTATATTTTATTATCTACTGTCTATACGCTTAACATCTGAATTAGATTTCAGTCGAAAATTGCCAAAATGCGATTAATAGGATCTACTTACCCTTAGTCAATCTTTATAAGTAGTAGTCTGTGTTCATTCTGAAGAAAACATAAGTTTTATTGGCAAGTTAGTCATCGCATATCATCAGCTGCACATTCTTATTTAGTCAGTGAAACAAACTTGTTAATTCTAATACTTTGCTTATAGTTACGATATAATCTGTTCAGTAAAAACACATCGACTATTTCGTTATTCTGTGTAAAAATGTGTTCAAAATTCCAATGTTTTTTTCCATATATTCTTACATAAAATCTTCTATGTCCCGTCAAATATCACGTGACTAAATCACCAATTAGAACACCGATTTATGTAGATTTGGCACTGTGCCAAACCAATGACGCATTAACCAGCACGAGCAGCCTAGAGTCAACTCTGTCTTTACTGGTTCCCCTTGCCGTGCCTGTTGAGTCCAGAACACAATCTCAGCTCATACCATAAGTCATATATTTCAGACATACTTGGCTTATATACAACAAAACCAGACCGCAACATACCACACAATAGAAAATAACAATCATTCAAGTTCAAGCCAAAGGTGGCTATGAGTGGGAAATACTACAATCAATAGATTATGGGCAACTTAAGAATAGTAAATCGTGTAACAGTAGCCAATAGGTCAATTGAAAGCTTATAATAAGAGACATAATCTAGTTAATTAATAGTTATACAGTGAGAATATACATATAATAACAGTCTTTAAATCGTTCCCAAAATCATGTAAATGTCTTCCGTAGTCAAACTACACATAATTTAAACTGGATAACAAATAGCTATACTTTTCTGTCCTATATTTTATCCTTTACTATAAATCTACAATAAAAACAAATGACAATACTTCATTTGATCATCAATTAACACTCATTAACTAACCATCTTTATTCAATTCATCATACAAAATATTTCCTGTATTTTAATTTGTTCACAGATTTTACTTTGCTTTAAAATTAAACTACCTTTTTTTCCTTTTTTACAAAATAGTCCTTTAACTTATTTCTCAATTCAATAAAACATCTTTTTTGTTTTTTCTCTGTAAATGACATTATGTGAATAATTGTATCAGTTATAATGAACACGAGTTTATTCACACTGTGTTATTCTGTTGTAATAAGTTTTTATATACAAGTAATATCTCTTTTAAGTGTACCTGTCTGATGAAGTGAAAAATAGAATATTCACTTCAAATTCTAATTGTTATTACTTTTTTTCTTCACTACGTAAGTGTAATTTATTAATTAGTAATTGTGATCTTAATATCTGTCATTAATCATGGAATATTTAACATAGAAAACGGGTTTACATATATGTTATAATGACGTTTTTATTTATTATACTCAACTAAATTAACAATTGTTATACACTCGAAATGATTGATAATTGATGTGTAAGTGGTTGTGTGCTTTTTTCAAATGTATCACTTATAGCTATCATATAGTTTGAATTTATTCTTCAAATAATATTGTTGTTGTTGATCTGATGGGAAAAAGAAACTGTCAAGTTTGTGCTTACTGTAGCTATTTTTAATCTTCAAGAATACATTTTAATATTTTTCATGTTACTTCAGTTGGCTATGTAATTTTATTGATAAACAATTTTATTAGTATCACAGATAAGATTCTCGGTGTAGACTGCTAGATTCTGGGCTTAGTTACTCAAAATAGCATAGTGATGTTTGCGAAATCTAGATGTTATTCGATATCGGACTGTATATATTTAGTGAAACGTAGATATTACATAACATTCGTAGGCTAGGAAGGAATAGCTGTTAAATGTTTTCTCGTTCCTAATATATTTTTTTTAGCGAATTCCATCCACGTAAAAGATCATTCGTCCAATAGGAATCCGTGTTGTTAGGTTTTAGCCTCAGAACAAGATATTTTGTTGCTGTATCAGTTTCCAGTCTTAGTGATCTATATTAACATATACGATCGATATATATTACTGTCCAACAAGCTCACTATGGTAGTGTAGTGCTGATTTGCGTAATTTATCTATCTCCCTCTCTCAAGTATGTCAAAACTTTGTTTTATACTAATTGAATTCTATCGATCAATTGATAGTATGCCCACTACTAGTCTAAGTGCCTCGACATCATATCCGCTATATCGAGCTATAACATGGTCGTGAATGAAGGTAGTCGACAGGAAGTAAGGATATAGCGTACCTAGAATTGGCCATTACTCACTCTGTGATCATTTAATTGTAGAAGTAGTAATTGTACCAGCAAAAAACACCGACAAATATTTCGGTATGGGAATTAATTCAAAACATGTGTAAATAAGCTTATTAAAATAAAAACCATTGTAAATCACATGCTAAAATGTATGTGGATGTTAAAGTATTATGAAAGCGATATAAAAGAAGTGTAATAAAGAAAACAGGACAGGTTTGAAGTGGGGAAACCAGATACACTTTCTTTTAATTATACTATGGTGTATTCTACTTATGCAATCTGAAGTGGAATACCTGACAGCAGAAGATTAGATTGAAGAGAACAGAAAGGAAATCGGAGAGGAATCAAAATCACAACAGAGTTAGAAGAAAAATGAAGTATGTAAAGGACAACGCAAAAATTACGTTCAAATGATATGTTTAATGTACGGTTTCCATATTTTACTAAGCCACTGTGTAATTTTGCTTTAAAAAATAAATCGGTTTTACTCATCAAAGCTCTTTGTTCACTACAATATAACCACCACTTTTCGACTAGAAAATGACAAATAACCATCGGTTGTATAAAGAATCCATTTAACTCCTCTAGTTAATCTATGCTGTATGACATCAATATTATTAAATGAAC